TCAGCAGCTCAGTGGTTTAACCCGCTGCGCCACCAGGGCACCCTCAACCTCCTGGGAAGAGATATCAAAACTATGTGTCCCGACATGTTTGTGCGTCAGGTGTAGGTGTGTGGCACAAATGTAAAGAAAAATAAGCAATACATAATATATTTTAAAAATATATAAATGAAAGGTTTTCATGCAAAAAGTTGTATCCCCATATTTTTTGCTATTATAGTTTATGTTTCGAAAGCTCTGCTCTAGGGAATATTTATCCTCAAACATCTTCCTCCACAACACTCACTTGAGTTCAGTCCGCAGCTGTTTCAGCAAATCTGAATCCTTCTTTTTGGCATCCTCACTGCCCTTCTGTTTCTCCCGGTCCCGCGAGGATGATGAGGAGGAGGAGGAAGATGACGAAGAGGCCTCTTTGTCTCGATCTCGAGACCTATCACGATCCACGCTTCGATCACTACCTCGTCCCTTGGACCGCTCAGGCTCCTTGATTCGGGGAGGTGGGGGAGGCTGTGGGGCGGGTGGTTGGGCGGCAGGGGGCTCCTCTTCCTCCTTTTTCACCCCCTCATGGCTCCCAAGTGGCTGAGGAGTCACTGGCTCTTCTTTGGGCTCCTTCTTGATTTGAATCTCCTTGGGCTCCTTCTTCACTTCGGGATGGGCTGCCCCCTCCTCCTCTTTTATTGTGGCCCCTCCTGAGGGTCCGTGCATCCCTCCTGGGTCTTCGCTTCCTGCTGTGGGGGGCGGCGGTGCTGAACTAGAAGAAAACCCACTCTGCTGCATCCGAACCTGAAGGCAGAAAGATTGAATATAGCTTGCAGCTTTCCTTCATGGCACCTGTAAAATACTCATTTCCTACTGGATTAAGGGTAGTTCAGGCTGATTGAAAGATTATGGGGAATTTTTCTGGTGAAAATAAAAAAAAAGGTTGGGAACGCTGTCTACTGAAAGGAACTACAACGCAAAAAATCCACAACTGCTTCACACTCAGATCTATCATACATTAACTGGCATCCTATTCTTGACATATATTGTTGGTGGAAGCATCCTTCTCAAGCCTCCTCTATATGATGTTTCAATCAATCAATCAAAACTTTGGGTTGTTGTAGGTTTTTCCGGGCTATATGGCCATGTTCTGGAGGCAATTTTTCTCCTGACGTTTCGCCCGCCAACATCTCCCCAATGGGGACTCGGAGCGGCTTACATGGGGCTAAGCCCAGACAACATAATACAGCAATAAAATCAAAACATATAAAACAACAACATTATCAAAATGACATTAAAAAAGAAAAATAAAATAAAATAAACATTCCAATAAACACAATCATGGTAGTGATGACAATGGGCAGGCCACATATTCTGGATAAAAACAGTTAACAAACTATGATGAGATGAAATAGAAGCAGGACATTTATATGGAACTCATAAAACACACAGAGTTGTGAGGCTAAACATCCTATTTGGAGGGCACTAACTGTTTGTGTGTTTTGTATGTAATGAAGAGTGGGAGGGGCATTAGTGATAACCTCATAACCAGATACAAATTGATAACATATTTTGCAGAAACCTCTGGAAAACCTCAGACGATGCAATTATTGTGCATCTCATTATAGAAATATACACAATGGCAAAAGGGAGGGGACTGCAGAGTCTATAGTTAATCTGGGACTGGTTAATGTCCAGATATAGCATTACTACAAATACTGAGCCTCACAGAAAGCTAAGCATCATGTGTTTTTTGTCCAAAGTTACCTAATGTCCTTTCTCAGGATTCACCTCAGCCTTTTTTTTCAAAAATGAGAAAGATAACTTTCTGGCGTATCTCTCCATCTCAGACCCACCTTGTTGATCTCTGCCTGCACCTCCCGGAGCTTACGCTTGTAGCGCTGCACATCACCCTTCAGCTGGTGGTTGTGGTTCTGGAGGCTGCTGATCAGGTGACGCATCTCTCGGTTGATGGGACCTCCGGTTCAAAATTGGAAGAGAAGAGAAAAAAAGAGGAGAGAGAAAGAAATGGAAGAATTTAGCATGGTCATGGGAACATAAGAAGTGAATCCACCATAAATGGGAAAATTGAAAGACTTGCTGATGAAGAAGGGAGGGAGATGATTAAGATCAAGGCTTCTTAAACTGTGAATCCTGACCCCTTATCTCAGTGTTGGAAGTCTGAAAAAGTTTTCTGAATGTCACCTAGTGGCTGTTTTAGACTGTTTTTGTTGGAGGAAGCAACCTTCTCAAGCCTCCTCTATATGATGCATGCAGTGATTTATGTGTAATGTGTTGTTTTATAACCTGAAGTATATGTGTTATTTGATTTGCAGTTTCCTTATCCCTATATACCTAAAGCAGTGGGAGGGTCTGCAGGTCACGTGACTGACTCAGTGACAGTTTAGAATGTTCAGGTTTAAACAGGATGACAGTTAGGGGAATGTCTGTTGAAGAATGACTGGTAGTTAAGTCAGTGTTGAGGCTTGAATGAGCTTGAGTATAGAAGTCTGTCAGTCTGTCATGTTAGGAAGTTAGAAACTGTTGAGGCTTCTGTTCATTAAGTATACTCTTACTAAAGAGAGTTGTATAAAGCAACATAGTTTATGAAGAAACTAACAGTTTAAAGATTATATGTTCAAGATATAAACTCTCTGAAACGTTACTGAAGTTTTTAACTTTTGACAAGAAACGTGCCTGTATCTTTAAATACATGAAGTTATCAGTAAACAAAACTTGTTATCTTTAAAAGAAGTCTGATTGCATCATTATCTGCTGAAAGCATCAAACAGAAACAAAATATCTACATGCCCAGCTATCATCCATTACCAAATAAGCTCTGCTACCCTGATAGGGTTGTGATTCTAACAGTTCATGACCTATACCCCAATGGTCAGTGATCCTAACACGTCATGATCCATTATCCCCAACAGTTTTCCAATATTTACAGTGGACTCTGCAGAAGATGTTTCAGCTGTTCTTTGTAAATAGGGAAAGAAGCCTGTTTAGCAAGCCTTGCAAATGCTGGTTTCTTATCAGTGATTTCTTTATACCTATTTAATACACTTTTATACCCAGGATCACCTAAAAATTTCTCAGGCCAAAAAGGGTCCCAAGGGGAAAAGTTTAAGAAGCCCTGATTTAGATCATTAAAAAGCAACTGGTCTTCACAGCTGCTGGGAGGTTTGGATGGAATGCAAAGCCAGGAGAATAGCCCTCTGTACCTCACCTAAAAGGGACATTTGCATATATAAGTCCCTAAAAGTATGCCAGCATTTATTTATTTATTTATTTATGACATTTATATCTAGCCCTTCGCACCCCGAACGGGACTCATAGTGGCTTACAAGTTATACATACATACAATATATTATATTATTAGCATAGCACAATTATATATTACTATATTGTACTATACTACTATACTGCAATATTATTAGTAATATTACATGTAATATATAATTATTATATCATTATATTGTATTATGATCAGTATTATATTTTATTACAATATTATGATCAATATTATATGTACATGCGATATATTATATTATCAGCTTAGCACAATATTAGTATTATATATTATTATATTGTATTATACCACTATACTGTAAAATTATTAGAAATATTACATGTAATATATAGTATACAATGATTATATTGTATTATTATTTGTATTATATTGTATTACATTATAATGTTATTATCAATATTATATGTATATATAATATATTATTAGCACAGCACAATATTAGTATTATATATTACTATATTGTTGCTGAGGTGAGGGGCTCCCAATTGATGACCCGGAAGACATGATGGAACTGTGTCTTCCTGGCTCTCCTTCATTTCTCTTATGTGTTTGTGTTCACAGATAAATGGGGTATTAACGCATCTCAGAGAACACATAGGAGGGAGGGAAACTCTCCCAAAATAGGTCATACCGTGACATACATATGAGATGGGGAAATACTTGTCCACATGTGTACCATGAAGACCCAACAATAATCAGTGCGCTCACCTGCTTGCTCATTAGCAGCCAGGTTCTGCTCAAACTCAATGCGCAACATTTCATACTCCTTGCGCACTTGAGCCAGTGTGTCTTCCAGCTGGATCACTTCTGTCCGCAGCTTCTTTTGAAGGTTCAGCTCATCACTCTATTGCCAAAAAGTAAGACAAAAGGTCACTAGCATGGAGCTAGTCAACAGATTATCCCAATATCTCTTTTGCCCTTGTAGCATCCAAGGAACTTGTTTACTTCTAAAATTTATATCCTACTTTTCCTCCTCTGATTTTAAAATAGCAACATATGACTCTCTTCCTGCCTACTTTAGCCTCACAACAATCCTGCGAGATGGGTCAAGTGGAGCGAGCAAGAACATTCAACAAACACAAGGACATGAGTCATATGGTTTAGAACCAGGATAGTTCAAGACTTTGTCCAGCACTCTATAATACCACACAGTAAAACAGGCTTTTAACATTTTTGAAATCCTAAATATATTATGCCTTTCTTTCAGTACTCTGACAGGTGGAACACATTTATGAACTTCAGGTCCCCTCACCTCCATATGCTCAATATGACGTAGGTGGCTGTTCTTGGTGGTGAGGAGAAGGGCCCGAGCCTCATCCAGCTGTGTTTTCACTTGCAGGCTCTCATTGTACAGCAGCGAGAACTGAGACTGCAGCACTTTGTACTCCAGCGTCTCTTTCACCGCCTCCTCGGGCAAACTACGGAGCGCCACCTGCAGGACAGGAGGTAGAACAAAAAAACAACAAGAATTACTAATTTTGGTCCAACCACCACATAAATGTCCCTTCACACATGGACTGAAAGTCTCTTGGACAGTCCCAACTAGTGTAGACCCATTGAATCTATTGTTGAATAGTGAGTCAACATGTAGATAAATCTAACAAACTCAATGAGTCTACTCAAGTTAGGAATAACAACAGGTGTCAGGATCACCATATCAGCCTGGCACTGGCTGTTTCGGTTCTCTGTCATAAAGAAGGGGGGGGGGGGGGGGGGCAAGGGAAAATCATGTAATAAGAGCAGTAGTGAACATGTATTGTCGAAGGCTTTCATGGCCGGAATCACTGGGTTGTTGTAGGTTTTTTCGGGCTATATGGCCATGTTCTAGAGGCATTCTCTCCTGACGTTTCGCCTGCATCTATGGCAAGCATCCTCAGAGGTAGTGAGGACAGTGAGCACAGTGTTTGGCCACTAGGGGGCAGATGGGAGTTGGGACTAATATATACAGGAGGTTTGAGAGGGAAAACTTTAGAACTGTCTTTTTAGGATTTTGGATAGAAGGAATAAACCATTTGTCTTCAACGTTTTATTGTTGTGAGCTTGAATTTCCAAAGTCTGACAACAGAATACTGTTAGGAGAGTAAGGAAGTTGTAATGAATGTGCACATAAAATCACAGCAGCCAACATAGGAATAACAACAGGTGTCAGGATCACCATATCAGCCTGGCACTGGCTGCTTCGGTTCTCTGTCATTCTTGCAGTAAAATCCAACCTAAGACGTGTGTTTTTACTCACTTTAGGAAACATTGAGATGCTGGGTGTACATAAAAATGAGAAAATGCTGTATTACTTATACTGACTTACTCTTTGGAATACCCTCCCAAGGGAGATCAGGCTAGCCTCCACCCTCCAAACCTTTCGCACACAATTAAAGACCTGGTTTTTCCGACAATCCTTCGATTATGTTTAGACTTTCTAATAATATATATGAGGACCTTTAGATTCTTTATTAGCACTTTATACTTCTGAGATTGAATACCAATGTTTACAGCAATTGCTTTATTTTATTGTTTTTACCAGGGAGTACTGTGAATTTATGATGTTGTGTTGATTATTTATTGTCTACTCGTATGTTTTGTTTTGCACTTGTTGTATTTTGGATGTCAACATCTTGAGTGTTTTGTGAGCCACTCTGAGTCCCTCTGAGAGATGGTGGTGGCATATAAATAAAAGATTGTTGTTGTTGTTGTTCTTTATACTAAGCATGGGGAAAGAATGCTCAATATGGGAATCTTTGGACCAAAAGCATGAGAACTCTGTTTTTACATCTCTGCCAAGGCATCCCATCCCCCATCACTACCTTGAGCTTTTCATTGGTCCTAACAGCTTGCTGCATTTCGTGCTGCAGCTTCTCCAGCTCTGCCATTCGACTATTGGCCAGTTCTTGGTTCTCTTCTAGCTCTGCATTCAACATTTCAAACTGCAAATACAAAATAAGTCAGCAAAGAAATAATAATAAATAATAATAAACTTGATTTATATCCCACCCCTCTCCAAACAGGACTCAGGGAGGCTTACAGAAAATAATTCACAGTACAAAACTAAAACAAAAATAGAATAAATACATAAACAACAATATCAAAAACAAAGCAAACTAAGAACTAAGAATAACATTTACATAATAAATTACTTAATTTAAAATTTTGCTGGATTATATTGTACACCAGGGCAAAACCCAGCTTCAGCCAGTTCAACATCATGATAAGTTATAATTAATCACTTCTGGAAAAAAATAAACAAGGGGAGCACCATTGAATCCAAAATCCATGAGATTACAATGTCTGTACTGTACTTCCTCGACATCCATTTTCTCCTGCTTACCTTCTGCATGCTGAGTGTGATCTGCCCACCCTGGAACCCGCCAGAACTGCCAGATGCGTAATAACCAGAATTTAGCTGCCAAAGAAATTTTAAAAATGTTTAGTACTTTCTAGACCACAACTGTATTTCTTGAAAATGTTCAATATATATTTAAACAGGTTCTTCACCACAAACTGGTCACAGCAACAATGGTAAATTTTGCCTTCAGCAGAAAAAAAAAAACAAGTAAGAAACCCAACAGTATTTCAGTTTATCTAAACACGCCTCATTATGATGGGAAAGGGAAGTGTCCTTGACATGTCAGAACCAGTTCTCCATTATCTAAATCTCATAAGTATTATTTTAAAAGTCAGGCTAAACATCTCTAGAGTAGGGGAGGACAGGGTGCTATTGATAGTTTTAGGGGTCCCTCAATGCTCACTTTGTTTCCCACATGCACGTCAGAAAACACAGAGCAATGGATTCATACTGGAGGGATTCCACCTAAGCATTAGGAAGAACTCCCTGATAGTGGAATGTGCTGCCTCAGAGTGTGGCAGAGCCTCCTTCTCTGAAAGCTTTTAAGTAGAGACTAGATGGCCATCTGTTGGGGGTGCTTTGATTGGTTGGACTGGATGGCCCTGAATGCCACTTTTGGTCTCTATAATTCTAAGAGTATGGAAGCCATAGTCCCAAGAGTAACCCTCCTGAGTGCCATGTAAGAGCTGTTTTTAGAAAGGCGAGTGTTTGTGTGGGTGAGACTATGAGAGTTCAAGGGCCACCCCAGGCCTTGGCTTGCCTGCTCCAGTGCCTCAGCCAGGTGCTTGTTCAGCTTCTGTTCCCTCTTGCGCAGCTTCTCAATATCCCACTGCAAGTCCTCAATTGTCGTTTCCATCTCCAGCACTTTGGTCTCTGATGAAGTCACCTTGTCCTGCAACTCTGTGTACTAAAGAGGCAAGGAAAGAGGAAATATAAACAGACATGACCAACATAAGAGGAGTTCCTTCTTCCTGCCACCAACAACCACACGATGCCGCTGGTGATGTCTGAGCACAAGCACCTACCTCCAGGGAGATCTTATGGTGCTTCTCCTGCAGCTGAGTGGTGACGTCCTGCAGATGTCGGTTCTCTCTTGTCAGGTCCTTGTTGAGAGCCTTCACTGCTTCTTCTAGCTGGTCAAACTCTACTGGAAGGAGTGGGAAGAGATCTCCTGAGAACATTCAACCTACCAATCTCCCTCCGCAATTCCTTTCCCAATTCAACCACTGTAGAATAACATCTATTGTTATTCTGTCTCCTATGTAGATACTCTTTCTCAGGAATTAATATAATCTATATAAATAAAAATGTCATGTCCATTTGTGGGATTATCATAACTCAAAAACCACTAGAGGAATTGACACCAAATTTGGACACAATACACTTCTCAGGCCAATGAGTGACCATCACTCAGAAAAACACTGAAAAAAGCAATGGAAGAGACTTAAAAAGCCAACATACAAAAAAATACATTACAACGCATGCGCAAAACCACATATACACACGGTTTTGCGGTTTGCTTTTAGCGGACTCGCTGTTTTGCGGTTTTAAAAAAAATTTAAAATATATATCGCAGTATTTTCTCTGTTTCATGGGGTTTTGCCGCCGCACTCTGAGGCTCTTTCCCTCCTCAGTCCTCCCCCCATCCTTGAAGGGCCTTTCCTTCCTTTCCTTCACTTTATTTTAAGTTTATAAAGACTTAATATAGTGTATAACTACTAAAATAATGTATAAATATTAAAATAAATTTAGCGTCCCTACATCACAGTTTTTCACTTATTGCAGGATGTCCTGGAACATAACCCCTGCAATAAGTGAGGGAACACTGTACACATATACACACACACAAAACACATATACACAGACTGGGCCACAGCAATGCATGGCAGGGGATGGCTAGTATTATATATTTCCTTTCTCCACATAATGCCCAACATGGAGCCTCATATGACAGGAAACAAAAAAATGCAGGGAACACTGATCCCCTTTCTCCAGTGAACTTAGTACATGGCCTTCTCTGATTTGGCACCCCAGCCACAAAGAACTTATCCTTTAAAAGCCTGGTTGGCACCAACATTGGTGTCCTCCTGCCATTAAGTAAAAACAAGGAACTTAATGAAAAAAAATTCAGCTTATCTGATTTCATACACATCTGCAAGTGTGTGCATTTCAGATTCTCTAAAATTGCTTTGACTAGTTTTAATAAGTCAATCTATTCAGTATGTTTTCAGTGTGTTTATATTATATTTTTAATGTTCTAAACTGGTAAAATTAATTTGAGCTTCCAGATCAGAAAATGAATACTTTAATAACTAAATAAATACTGCCTTTTCTCACCACGGGCATGAATTTTCTGGCAGAGTTCTTCAGTGCGCCGGTGGATCTTGTCGGAGACTTCCACAATACGTGAAACAGCTGCTTTGGAGAACTCCATGCGCTCCTGAAGCTCCAGCTCAATCTCTTCACTGCTGCTGCTGGCCAAGGCTGCCAGGAAGGAAAGAGCTGGCTCGTTCAGAACAAGGTCCCCTCCTTTCCAAGGGGCAGGAGGAGTGATGGGAGACAGGACTGCCTCTGCAGAGATCAGAACAACCAGGTCAGTATTGGCCTCACTTTTCCATTGAAATCCACAAGCATGTGGACAATTTCAACAGAAAGGAGGAAACCAAGAAAATGAACAAAATCTGGCTACTAATATTTTAAAAAACTCTAAAATCAGGAAAGTAAATAAAGAGCAACACTCAAAAAACAGAGGAATTCCAGAAAGGAAACGATCAGGGCCAGCTAACACCTCCCAACAAAGGATTCCCCAAGGAAGCAACCAGCAGACTTTGAAGCTGCAAGGCTATTAAATGCTAATCAAGGGTCCATTTGCAGCATTCACACTTGCCTCAAGTAGACAAGAGTTCTTTCTCACACCCTGGACATTCCAAAGATATATAAATGCCACTTGCCTAGTTTCCATCAGACCTCACAAACTCTGAGGATGTCTGCCATAGATGTGGGCAAAAATCATTGAATAATTGAGTTGAAAGAGACCTTGTGGGCCATTCAGTCCAACTCCCTGCCAAGAAGCAGGAAAATTGCCTCCAAAGCACCCCTGACAGATCGCCATCCAGCCTCTGTTTAAAAGCCTCCAAAGATGGAGACTCTGGGGCAGAGGGTTCCAGGGCTGAACAGCTCTCACAGTCAGGAAGTTCTTCCTAATGTTCAGGTGAAATTTCCATTCTTGTAGTTTGAAGCCATTGTTCTAGATCAGAAGAGAATGCTTCTGGAACATGGCCATACAGCCAGGAAAACTCACAGAAATTCAGTGATTCCAGCCATGAAAGCCTCCGACAACACATTTTCAATTTCTATCACACACTCCTTCAATACAGAAATATGTGCTCACCCCTTCTCTCGGATCCCTCTTGTCCCAGGCCAGAGGGATCCATCTCTCCTCCGACAATTTCCAACTTGGGCTCTTCTTGGGTCTGTTCACAACTTCCATCATAACGTTTCAGGAGCACTTGCACTGTCTCATCCAGCTGGAGGAGTAAGGAGGGACAAGGAAAGGGATAAGAAAATTGACATTAAGAGGGATGGGATTTCAAAAGCAGATTTCAGAATGGCATATGTCTCTCTTTAAAAAGTGGATTGAGTATCCTTTATCTGGAATTCCAAAATCCAAAACTGTCTATACGGGTGGCTGGGATACTGACATCTTTTCTTGTGGAATATTCAGTGCATCCAAACTTTGTTTCATGCACATAATTATTTAAAATGTTGTATAAAATTACCTTCAGGTTATGTGTATAACATAAACATGAAACATAAATGAATGTCATGTTTAGACCTGGGTCTCTGCTCCAAGATACCTCATTATGTACATCTATGTCCATACAAGTATTCCAAAACATGAAAAAAAATCTGAAATCTTAAACATTTCGAATAAGGGATACTCAACCTGTATATCAACACTAAACATAGCCATATGACCCCGGACAAATATGTAAACTAAGCTTCCAACAAACTCTGAAAATTAAATTTACTCTAGTGCTACCAGTCATGGAGAAGAGCAAGGAGCAACACTTCTCAGTGTTGCAGAAATCTTGTAATTTGCTGAAATTACTTGTATCTGTAGATTGAATAAATAGAATTTTTAAATCCTTGTGTGTTATTGTTTATTGGTTATATGTGATTTATATTAATTGTATTGTATTTATTGTTTTTGTTTATTGCTTTTTTTGTTTTTACTGATGTGTTTTTGGGCTTGGCTTCATGTAAGCCGCTCCGAGTCCCTTGGTGAGATGGTGGCAGGGTATAAATAAAGTTTTTATTATTATTATTATTATAAACCTTAGGTAAGAATAAAAAGATTACTCAGGAGAGAATACTGACCTGCTTCCAGTATCGGTTGACAATCAAGAGAGTGGCATCATCGGTAGCCTGCCTCTTCTCCAGCTTCTCTATGCGCTCGCGTAGCTCATCCTCAAAAGCCTGCCGTTGCTCCAAGCGCTCAGCCAACTTCTTGTTCTTGAACTGAAGCACCTTCAGGTCCATCTCCTCCTACACCAAAAAGAAAATTTAGTGTGTAATGTAACTCTGCCTTTTGTGCCAACCCTTTTATGTCTTGATGGTATTTTATCCGCTCATGAGACAATACACAAAGATGTATCTGAAGGGCGGCATTTTAGTGGTGAAGTATTTAACTATATATTGTAGAGAAGAGATTGTAGTCCTGCAGAACACTTTCTGGAAACATTAACATTTCTCGGAAGCATTTTAAATCAAACGTGTGTCATTAGAAGGATAAAGTCATGCAATCTAAGAACAGGCAATGCAATATCTAATGACAGTTGCAAGCAGAGGATTACTAGAATAAATTCCTCTCCCATCCACAATGCATTCTAAATTTAAATGGGGCAAGGCTTCCTTTAAAAAGACTCAGGCCAACATGGCCTGACACAATTATTGCCAGCCAATTCGATATGAATCAATACTTATTTTATCCCATAAGGCACTGGAAGGGGATGCCCTAGAATACTTATTTCTAAAAGTGTCAAACACATAAGGCTTCTAAACACCAGTGTACAACTAAATGCTATTTAGTCAGTTCAAACACATAGTTTCGATATATGCATGTCAAGATCCAGTTTTGAGGAAGAGCGGAGAACATTTGAGCTCCTACAATAAGAATAAGTTACTGTCATCTTCCAGTTATCTTTAGACTACAACCCCCATCAGCCCTAACAGGTACAGTCAATGGCAAGGAACTAGAAGAACAATAAAAATAAATAGAAAGCCCTGTTCTAAATTTTTGGACTACAACTCACACATTTCCTTACCATTGCTCATGCTCAGAAAGGATAGAAGCTTTAGGCAAAACTATCTTGAGAGCCAAAGTTCCTCATCTCTATTCTAAACATAATTTTACACCTGAGATTCTAGTGATTTTGTCATTTAATATTTTATATTATTCTTATAGCATCTATTAAAAACACAGTGAAGACATTTGCCCTTGCCCTTTGCTACTCTGCTTCTGAATATGCATGCCCAGTGTAGAATACATCTCATCACATTAAAACAGTGGATGTGGCTCTAAATGAGACATGTCGCATTATCACAGGATATCTACAACACTGCTGGAAAAATTATACTGTTTAGTTAGTAATGCACCACCTGACATCCTTTGGGAAGTAGCAGCCAGTAATGAAAGGACCAAGGCATTGACATCTCCAGCCCATCCCCTGTTTGGATATCAGCAAGCAAATCAAGAAATAGCTTCCTAAGATCTACAGAGATATTTGCAGGAACACCTCATCAAGCAAGAGTCCAAAAGTGGCAGGTTAAAACCCAAAAAAACCTCAGTCAGTGACTGATATCAGATGAGAAACTCCCTCCTGGGCACACAGACGACTGGGCGACTTGGAAGGCGCTGAACAGACTGTGCTCTGGCACCATGAGATGCAGAACCAATCTTAAGAAATAGGGCTACAAAGTGGACTCATGACATGCAAGTGTGKAGAAAAGCAAACCACAGATCTCTTACTACTGTCGTTCGGACAGTGTATCYGTCCGAACGTATCTCCCTCTACGTCCCACCCCAGAGTCTGAGATCATCTTGGGAGGYCCTGCTCTCGACTCCACCACTGTCACAAGTGAGGCTGGTGGGGACGAGGAGCAGGGCTTTCTCAGTGGTGGCCCCTCAACTGTGGAACTCACTCCCGGGGGAAATCAGGGCATCATCATCCYTCCTCTCCTTCAGGAGGAGGGTGAAGACGTGGTTATGGGACCAGGCCTTTGGGCACTCTGGCAATTAAATAAGACAATCAGGCGAGTAAGACCAACAGGATTGACGAAGTGGAAYGGAAAACTAGAACTATGAGTTAGCGAACGCTGACCATGTAGGAGGAGGAATTGGGTTTGTATTAGTTTTATTGATTTTATGGTTATAATGCATGAATTGTTGTTAACTGTGAATTGATGTAATTTTGTGTATGATTGTTTTGTGATGCAGGCATCGAATTGTGCCTTTGCTTTTGTAAGCCGCCCTGAGTTCCCTTCGGGGTGAGAAGGGCGGGGTAAAAGAACCCCGAAATAAATAAATAAATAAATACTATGTGGTCTGAGCCCCGCCAAATGCACAATGAAGGACCTTCTCCCAGCAACACCAGAGGCACTCCAAGTGGCCAACTTCTGGTCAAAGGACATATAGTACAATGCCAAGTTTTTAAACTTTGTTTGTGGTTTTTCTGTACATTATAACTACTTTCTCAATTCGCTTCTGGCAGAATAAATAAAATATATTTAAAATGGATGGTCTTTTTAAGAACCCAGGGCATATTTTTAGAAAATAATTCCCGGTGTTTCTTTCTAGAATTTTTGTTTAAAGTCAATGCTATAGATCAGGGATGAGAATCACACTGCCTTCGATTTCTGAGCAGTGCAGCAAATATTTCTCCTACCTCTTCATATTAGTGTTACGATTGTAGGACTGAGTGGTATACAACCTGAGTTGTAAAAGTGTTGTGTTTCAAATAAAGATTTATGTTTCAAATTTTTAAAAAGTACTCCACTCCTGAGTGCTCACCGTAGAAGAGATGCCTCCTAACCGGATGGGTTCAATCAACGTGGTGGTGGTCTTCTCCTCCCTGTTGGCCTTCTTCTCAGGGGGCCCTGAGCCCCCATCTCCAGCTGCACGCTTACTTGTCGTCCCCGACATGGTGACTTTGAGCCACGGGGTCAGAAGCAGAGAAATCAGCCAATCAGCCAAGGAGTCAGTTCTTCAGCTAGAAAAGAAAGCAGAAGATCATTATTTGACATCATAAATAAGGAGATCAGTGTGACTTTAATCCAAGAGAAATTCAACATGTGTTTCCCAGGAGTAATAGGGAAGTGACATCTGTTGAACTGCTGGCTGACTTAACAGAAGTCCTGCTCAGAAAGGGAAAATTACTAAAAAGAAGATAAGGAGGAATCTCTTCTAGAGAATTGATGTGATAAGGGAAAGAAAGAACTCAGACATTAAAGAAGGAGTGGGTACTAGAGAGACAAAAAAACAGATGGAATAAAGAGAAAAACATGAGTAATAGTCATGGATAAAATGGGAAGAAACGACAGTGGGCCCCTGGTATCCACTGGAGCTTGGTTCCTGGACTCAAGTCCCTTTATACACAATGACATTTTATTTATTTATTTATTTATTTATTTACAATATTTATAGCCCGCCTTTCTCAGCCATACGGTGACTCAAATGTAAAATGTTAAATGGCATCCTTTATATATTGTTTCTTCAATTCTAAGACACACTTTCCCCCCAAAGAAATGTCTCCAATAACAAAGTTTGTCTAAGAATCACAGGTGCTCTCTATACACACACAAAGTTTTCTTCCGGTTGGTGGTAGTGAAATCAGTATGTGTCTTAGGCCCTATATACACTGTCATATAATCCAGTTTCTGAATATAGATTAACTGCAATAAACGGACTATATAGAATCATAAAGTTGGAAGAGACCTCATGGGCCATCCAGTCCAACCCCCTGCCAAGTAGCAGGAATATTGCATTTAAATCACCCCTTGACAGATGGCCATCCAGCCTCTGTTTAAAAGCTTCCAAAGAAGGAGCCTCCGCCACACTCCAGGGCAGAGAGTTCCACTGCTGAACGGTTCTCACAGTTAGGAAGTTCTTCCTAATGTTCAGGTGGAATCTCCTTTCCTGTAGTTTGAAGCCATTGTTCCGTGTCCTAGTCTCCAGTGAAGCAACAAACAAGCTTGCTCCCTCATCCCTGTGACTTCCTCTCACATATTTATATGGCAGTGTACACTCATATAATCCAGTTCAAAGCAGTTAATCTGCATTCTGAAACTGGATTATATGACAGTGTAGATCCAGCCTTACAAATGATGGCATCTGAGAATCAAAGAAATAGGATAATTATCCAGAATCAAGGTTTGCCTTTTGAAATCTTTAAAAAAAAAATTTCAGGCCATTCTCCAGACAGGAATCAATAATGAGTTGCTGTGAATAGATATGGAGGGCCGACCATAGTCCTGAGCTGCCATATATTATCCAGCTATTTATTTATTTATTAGCGTATTGTTAGCATATTTTATAGACAAGCCCCACAATCATTTTGAACCTATTAATTTAAACTTATATTTTGTTGATACAAATGATTTTAATGCTTTTAAATCTATGTGTTTAAATGGTTTTGTTTTTAATCTGTGTATTTTAACTGTGTTGCATGTTGCCTTGAGTATAGAAAGGAAACAAATAATAATGATAATAGTAATAATTATAATAATGGGTTGCTGTGAGTTTTCCAGGCTGTATAGCCATGTTCAGGAAACATTGTCTTCTGACTTTTCTCCCACATCTATGGCAAGCATCCTCAGAGGTTGAGGGGTCTGTTGGAAACTAGGCAAGTGAGGTTTATATATCTGGGGAACGTCCAGGGTGGGAGAAAGAACTCTTATCTGTTTGAGGCAGGTGTGAATGTTACAACTGGCCATCTTGATTAGCATTTAATGGCCTCACAGCTTCAGAGACTGGCTGCTTCCCGCCTGGGGGAATCCTTTGTTAGGAGGAGTTAGCTGGCCCTGATTGAATCCTGTTTGGAATTCTCCTTTTTTTTTTTTTTTTTTTTTTGGAGTGTTGCTCTTTATTTACTTAGGCGATCCCTCGTTGTCTGAATAAGATTGTCCTCCAAGTGTGGTGTACTGGTGGTGGGTATGCAGATGACTGTGGAGCCCTATTCTTGACCCGCATGTTCTCCTGCAGTGAGGGCATCGGTTTCCAAGTGGAAGGCAGTCCCAGTTGGGGTTGGTTTGACACACCTTCCTCCTAGCACGTTTCTCCCTTTCGCCCTCCATTCGTGCCTCTTAAAATTTCACGGCACTGCTAGTCACAGCTGACCTCCAGCTAGAGCGCTCAAGGACCAGGGCCTCCCAGTTCTCTATGTCTATGCTACAGTTTTAAAGGTTGCCTTTGAGCCCAACTTTATTTATTGTCAGGGGAATTCCAGATATGGAACAATCAAGGCCAGTTAACACCTCATAACAAAGGATTCCCCCAGGCAGAAGGCAACCAGGCTTTGAAGCTGCAAGGCCATTCAATGGTGATCAAGCTTGGAGTCCTCATGGACAACAAGTTAAACATGAGCCAACAATGTGATGTGGCGGCAAAAAAAGCCAATGGGATTTTGGCCTGCATCAATAGGAACATAGTGTCTAGATCTAGGGAAGTAATTCTGCTTTGGTTAGACCACACCTGGAATATTGTGTCCAATTCTGGGCACCACAATTCAAGAGAGATATTGACAAGCTGGAATGTGTCCAGAGGAGGGCGACTAAAATGATCAAGGGTCTGGAGAACAAGCCATATGAGGAGCAGCTTAAGGAGCTGGGCATGTTTAGCCTGAAGAAGAGAAGGCTGAGAGGAGATATGATAGCCATGTATAAATATATGAGAGGAAGCCACAGGGAGGAGGAGCAAGCTTGTTTTCTGCTTCCTTGGAGACTAGGACGCGGAACAATGGCTTCAAACTACAAGAGAGGAGATTCCATCTGAACATGAGGAAGAACTTCCTGACTGTGAGAGCCGTTCAGCAGTGGAACTCTCTGCCCCGGAGTGTGGTGGAGGCTCCTTCTTGGAAGCTTTTAAACAGAGGCTGGATGGCCATCTGTCAGGGGTGATTTGAATGCAATATTCCTACTTCTTGGCAGGGGGTTGGACTGGATGGCCCATGAGGTCTCTTCCAACTCTGATTCTATGATTCTAATTCCAGATATGGAACAATCAAGGCCAGCTAACACCTCATAACAAAGGATTCCCCCAGGCAGAAGGCAGCCAGGCTTTGAAGCTGCGAGGTCATTCAATGGTGATCAAGCTGGCCAGTCACAACATTCAAACTTGCCTCCAGCAGACAAGAGTTCTTTCTTTTACCCTGGGCATTGAACAGATATATAAACCTCTCTTGCCTTGTTTGCAACAGACCTCACAACCTGTATGGATGCCTGCCATAGATGGGGGTGAAACGTCAGGAGAGAATGCTTCTGGAATATGTCCATACGGCCCGAGAAATTCACAATAAGCCTTTGACAACACAACAATAATAATTATAACAGTGATACTTGTTGTTATTGTTGTTATAGTAATATATTTTATGGATGGGCCCTTCAGTCAGATTTGAACCTATGAATTTAAACTGACATTTTGTTGGCACAAATGATTTCAATATTATTATTGATAGTAATATAAATAAGACGTAATATCTTGATTTATTTTGAGTGAGAATAAGAAGATCCATGCTAATAGATCCTATTAGCATGGCTCTCAGGTACTTTTTAAAGAGACAGTGCCACAAAAATGGGTGTTTAGAGGAGAAGAAGAAGAGACAAGGCCCGACAGAGAAGGGAGGAAGGGGAGGGAGGGGACCTGCAGGCTCACCCCGCCATCGCCGCCGCCTCTCTGCCTTCCCCTCCATACGACGTTTCGGACTAGAAGCCCCGCCGCAGCCACTGCGCATGCGCCTTAGGAGGCATCTTTCGGCCAGACTCAAGCGAATCTCCCCTTCCTGTTCTGGATGGCGCATGCGCGAGCGGACTCTTCGACTCGGAATGCGACGTGCTTTCCTATTGGTTGAAAGGACACCTGGAAGGGCGGGTTGTGTGCATACGTAAGTGGGAGGGTGGAATGAAAGCGGACACGTGATTGGTTCAACCGGGAAAGAGGTTACCCGTGATTGGGCGGATGCTCCTCGAGGAAGAGGCTACGTAAGTGGAGGGTGGAATGAAAGCTGACACACGATTGGTTCAACCGGGAAAGAGGTTACCCGTGATTGGGCGGATGCTCCTCGAGGAAGAGGCGTGGCTTCCCTGCGATTGGCTCCTCCCATAGAGACAGGGAAAAAGGAAGTCAAATGTAAACATTGCCTCAGAAGGATGCCAACTTGGCTCTGGAGTGGTAACAATGATACTGTCCTGGCTCTGGAGGGATAACAATGCTTTAGAAGAGGGAATTATCTTTCTTCGCCGCTTATAGAGAGCAGTATCTTTTCAGTCTCCTTTATAGGAAAGGCTCCTTCCACTTTGAAAGAGGACGGCAGTGATTGGCTCGCTCCTTGACCTGGCTCAGCATTCTTTCTTCTAATTGGACGGAGCCCAGAATGCCATGGCAACGGAGGACTCCTTCAGTCCTCCACCTCAAAGGCCTTTAATGGGGCCCGAGTCCCTCAATAAGGTACCAGAGGAGGGGGAGCAATACTAAAATTAATACAAAAAAGGGAAACAAATGAATGGTTGAAGGAAGGGACTGAGGTGTTATCTCTATGCAGATGATGTCCAAATCTGTCACTCCTTTCCACCTGTCACCAAGGAGGCTGTCCAGACCTTGAACAGGTGCTTGGCTGCTGTGTCGGACTGGATGAGAGCTAACAAATTGAAACTGAATCCAGACAAGACAGAGGTCCTACTGGTCAGTCGTAAGGCCGAACAGGCCATAGGGTTACAGCCTGTGTTAGACGGGGTTACACTCCCCCTGATTAAATGCCCTTGTTTGTTTCCTCTCTGTTGTTGTGCTGTTCTAATTTTAGAGTTTTTTTTAATACTGGTAGCCAGATTTTGTTCATTTTCATGGTTTCCTCCTTTCTGTTGAAATTGTCCACATGCTTGTGGATTTCAATGGCTTCTCTGTGTAGTCTGACATGGTGGTTGTTGGAGTGGTCCAGCATTTCTGTGGCCTCAAATAATATGCTGTGTCCAGGCTGGTTCATCAGGTGTTCTGCTATGGCTGATTTCTCTGGTTGAAGTACCCTTCAGTGCCTTTCCTGTTCCTTGATTCGTGTTTGGGCCATGCTGCGTTTGGTGGTCCCTATGTAGACTTGTCCACAGCTGCATGGTATACGGTAGATCCCTCTTGTCCTTTGCTGTTGGATTTTCTTGGTGGGTCTGTAGATACTTGGTATGTTGTGTTTCTTCATCAGCTTCCCTATGCGGTCAGTGGTTCCCTTGATGTATGGCAAGAACACTTTTCCTCTGGGTGGATCTTTGTCCTGACTCTCGTGGCTTGTTCTCTATATAAACTTTATTTATATACCGCTCCATCTCCCCGAGGGGGACTCAGAGCGGTTCCCAAGTAACATCACAAAACATACAGATTAAAAACAACATAACCATAAGATTAACAAACAAAATATAAGCATAAACATTGTTGCCATAACACACATATATTAAAAGTAATCCTGCCTGTTCAAGGCAATTTAAAAATTTAAAAGGCCGGGCCAAGATTTGTGCAAGCCCAAAAATTCTAGGGGGCCCGGGAATTAAGTGCAATGCTATGACAGGCAACAATAATATTAGGTACGGGTCTGTGGCTGTTCATTCCGGGGCCGATTAGAGGAAAGAATCTGGGTAACTGGTAGGAAGAATAAGGCCGTATTCGAATGTGTAGGGCTGAGTTAGAACTGGTCATTTTCAAAGGCTTGTTGAAACCACCAGGTCTTCAAGCTCTTATGAAAGGAGGGGAGGGATGAGGCCTGTCTTATTTCCCTTGGAAGGGTGTTCCAGAGATGGGGGGCCACCACTGAGAAGGCCTTCTCTCTCTCGTCCCCACCAACCGTGCTTGAGATGGTAGTGGGACCAAGAGGAGGGCCTCCCCAGAAGATCTTAGCGTTTGTGCCGTTTCATATAAGGAGATGCGATCGCGGAGATAGGCTGGGCCCGAACCGTTTAGGGCTTTATAGGTCATGACCTGCACTTTGAATTTGGCTCATAGTTGGAAGAGACCTTGTGGGCCATCCAGTCCAACCCCCTGCCAAGAAGCATGAAAATCGCCTTCAAAGCTTTGTTTCTGATTTATTTATTTATCGTGTCAGGAGAAAATCAAACAGTTGTATTGCATTTTTTAACAAACAAACAAACAAAACACAAAGTTTGCAAGCCTGGTAGTTGATTAAATGTCCTTTGACCAGTAGCTGGCTACTTGGAGTACCTCTGGTTACTATAAGAAGGTCCTCCATTGTGCATGTAGCAGAGCTCAGGTTGCATTGCAGCAAATGGTCTGTAGTTTGCTCTTCTCCACACTCTCATATCATGGACTCACATACTGTGACTGATAGCGACCTGGTAATAGTATGATAGCTGGGTTCGGAAGCTCCAAGCATTACGGAGATGCCGCATCACTCCTTCTGGAGCACTGTTTGTACAAGAGAGACTCAGCTAATGTAAGCCAGGACAGAGACAGATAATATACAAGGAATCTAAGACTTCTTTAATGGTGAAATCCTTACCTTAACCCTGAACCGTACCGTAAGCCTAAGCCTAACCCCTTACCAAAAACCTTGCCCAAACCCTAAACCTTATCCTAATCCTTACACTAAACCAAACCCTTACCCTAAACTGTACCCAAACTGTAACTCCTAACCCTTACCCTAACCGTAACCCTAAACCTTACCCTAAACCATACCCTAACCATAACCCCTTACCCTAGCCATAACCCTAAACCTTGCCCTAACCCTTACCCTAAGTGTCCCTCATAGAATCATAGAGTTGGAAGAGACCTCATTGGCCATCCAGTCCAATCCTTTGCCAAGAAGCACGAAAATCGCCTTCAAAGCTTTGTGACTGATGGTGACCTGGTAATAGTATGATAGCTGGGTTCGGAAGCCCCAAGCATTACGGAGATGCCACATCGCTCCTTCTGGAGCACTGTTTGCATAAGAGAGACTCAGCTAATGTAAGCCAGGATGGAGACAGATAATATGCAAGGAATCTAACAGTTCTTTAATGATGAAACCCTTACCCTAACTGTGAACCATACTGTAAGCCTAAGCCTAACCCCTTACCAAAAACTTTACCCTAACCCAAACCCTAAACCGTACCCTAACCATAACCCCTTACCCTAGCCATAACCCAAACCCTAAACCTTGCTCTAACCCTTACCCTAAGCGTCCCTCGTACAATCATAGAGTTGGAAGAGACCTCATTGGCCATCTAGTCCAACCCCCTGCCAAGAAGCAGGAAAATTGCATTCAAAGGACCCCCGACAGGCGGCCACCCAGCGTCTGTTTAAAAGCCTCCAAAGAAGGAACCTCCATCACACTCTGGGGCAGAGAGTTCCACTGCTGAACAGCTCTCATGGGAAGTTCTTCCTAATGTTTAAATGGAATGTCCTTTCTTGTAGTTTGAAGCCATTGCTCTGCATCCTAGTCTCCAGGGCAGCAGAAAATAAGCTTGTTCCCTCCCTATGACTTCCTCTCACATATTTATACATGGCTATCATATCTCCTCTCAGCCTTCTCTTCTTCAGGCTAAACATGCCCAGCTCCTTAAGCCACCTCTCATAGGGCTTGTTCTCCAGACCCTTGATCAGTTTAGTCGCCCTCCTCTGGATTCATTCCAGCTTGTCAATATCTTTCTTCAACTGTGGTTCCCAGAATTGGACACAATATTCCAAGGCAGAATAGAGGGGTAGCATAACTTTCTCTTTCCTTCGCTCTCCCTGCTTACACTCCGCCACCTCTCCTCCCTTATTCACAGCCGCCTTTATGGCATCTCCGTAACGCTCTGAGCTTCTGGACCCAGCTATCATACTATCACCAGCGACCTCATGAAGGGGAGGCCTCTAAAGGCGCATTGGTAATAGTATGATAGCTGGGTCTGGAAGCTCCGAGCGTTATGGAGATGCTGCATCGCTCCTTCGGGAGCACTGTTTGCGCAAGAGAGACTTAGCTAATGTAAGCCAGGCCAAAGACAGATAATATAGAAGAAATGTCAGAGTTCTTTAATGGTGAAATCCTAACACTTACCCTAACCCTGAACCACACCGTAAGCCTAAGCCTAACCCCTAACCCTAATTACCTTCTACCTGGCAAATGTTTTCACCTTTTCAAAACACCTCATGTAAATTTAACTCCTGCCTTAGATCTTTCTTTGCTCTTACCTTCGAATGTCTGCTTTACTGGATCATATCTTGAATGAATGATTCGGAACTAGCAATTCCTTACTGTGAAGCCTTGTAGGATTAGATTCTTTACTGGCAAAAATCCCACATCTTCCCTTCTGCTTATCCCTGTAAAAAAGCAAGTAACATACTGTTAAGGATAGGCTATGTCATATGGAGGAGCCAGGGATTCATCCTAGTTCATCAGGGTGGGAGGTGACATTGACTGGATCAGTCCAGCCATATAATTCAGTTTGGAACTACCTTACATAGTTGGTGTAGACAAAGCATGGGCAAACTTCAGTCCTCTGGATGTTTTGGACTTCAACTCCCAGAAATCCCAGGCAGCTTACTGGCTGTTGGGAATTGTGGGAGTTGGAAGTCCAAAACACACTGGAGGGCACAAGTTTGCTCATGCCTGGTGTAGACCCATATAATGCAGTTCAGTTAAAACTGCATTATAGTTTCAAACTGAATTATATGGCAATGTAAATCCAGCCATTAGCAGCATACATGAGGGAAAATACCCCAGAAGATATTTTTATTTCATTTAAAAAATTTAAAAAGAGGCGAAACGTATAATTTTATTTCTAATTACATAGGCTATAATTTACCTAACAAATGTTAGTTTGTCAGCACGATCCTTTTAATTGTAGCCACTATGACAGGATAAAGTTGCAGCTGAATGAATCGTGCTAAATTAACTTTTAAATAATCTAAGAGTAGGTTAAGATATCACTATGGTGATTTGGATTTAACAAAATGTATTTCTCTTTCAGCCACAAACACATAAAGCAAAGATATGTATGTGGTAAGTTGCTTTTTGTATCTTTAGGGGAAGGTGGTTATAGCACTAGTTAAAAGCCCAGAACCATTTTTATGTGGGGTCATAGCTTGAAGATAACCATATTTTGGTAATGTCCGGTGACTGACTCTGTGATACTCAGAAAACTTTCAGAAATAGCTATATTCGCCATTTAGCTAAATACCATAAATTTGAAAATCTGCAAACTGTGATGCCTTAATTGGGCCAAATAAAATCATGAATATAGAGATCCACTGATTTTTTCATCAGGCAAAGATGATAGCAATCAAACAGGAGGAGAAGAAAAGCAATATTTTGAATGTGAGATTGCACTCTCTGCTACAGCCAAAGGGATGCCCAGCAGTTATACCTGGGTTTTTTTTCTTCATTGTCCCTGTTTCAGGAAATACTTGGATGTTCACAGCATGGATCTCATCAATGCGGCTAAGACCACTGATACTCTGAAGAGGTAACGGCAGTTTGGGGACTGAGAAACAAAAACTAACTGTGCTTGTATCTTAAATAAAAATGAAGGCATATATAGAATTCAATACAAAAAATTATTTCTGGTCACTTCCAATTTTGTTGGGGGGATTCCATGAATCATGATTTTTCCCAGAGGCAGAAAATTCACCCAGGCACTGTGTCATCCTAATATCAAGAATCATCAATAAAAATCAGATGCTCAGTATATCTTGCACATCAAGATATTGTAGACCCATGTGTTTGTTGAAGTGCATCAGTATCAGAATGTGTGAAAATTACCTTCTTTAGATTACAGCTTTTTATCCTGCAGCCATGCTGATTGGGGAATTATACAAATTATAGTCAAATGAGGAAATTTTCCAAGCTTTGGCACAGGCTGCTTCCAGGAATTGTGTGAGCAATTTGAATGTTAAAAGCTTTCACAGCATTGGATCAGTGTACCCGAAGAGCTGATTTACTTCATATTTATCCTCTTGCACTGAAACTTGTTTCTGGGAGGGTGCCTCTTGAACTCACAGAAATGGGGACACAGAGCAAGATGATCCCTTGTTTAACCTTCTGCTGAAACCAAAAACTGACATTGGTTCCAATTCCCTGTTTCAACAGATCAATATCATTCTATTCCTGAACATGTCTAATTAATTAAAGTACTTTAGTACTTAATATTAGACACTCGTAGTGTGAGAAACTACTGAGTTTTGAACTAGAAATGCCATTAAAAATCCAGGAAGGTTCAGATCTTGGAAATACTCCTTTTTTGATTACAACTCCAAGATCCCCCCCCCCCCACCTTCCCAGTTTCTGCTACACAAAGAATGAAAATCATGAAATTGGCTGTGTAGATTGGATATCCTTATGTCTGCTCAGTATTCAAATAAATGATAGCAAGGCCATCATTTTCTAAATAAACTTCAAGACATAGATCTGTAATAAGCTGCCATTTCCTCACTTTCCCTGCAGAGATTTGACTGGCCTGGCCATTGCAGCAAAAATGAAAGTTCCATGGATCTTCATGCATTTGGTGACTTACATTTTTGCAAGCTCGAGCTTTCTTTATTGGGTGCTTGAATTGGATAACAATTGGTATCTCTCTGGAAGGTGTCCTAATTGGTTTTGGTTTGCCAGATGTATCAAAAAGTGGGTGTGCATTAACTTGGGGGTGAGTCCTTGAAGAGGTATTCCTGAAAAACTAGAATCAGATCAGGCAATGTAAGGTTAAAAAAGCAGTTTGAATAGAGTGAGAGGAATATGGAAAGAGAGGAGTGGCGAGACATGAGAAGCTTTCAATCAGTTGTTAGAGTATGCTTAACCAGCCATGGTAAAAAGAGACTGATAAAACCAACGTTTATATACATACTTCTGAGCACAGTCAAATCTCAAGAATCTGTCAGTGAATTCAATGACACCTAAAGCAAACATAGAAGATGCATTGCTCTCAAAGATATTGTTCACCTTCAGGAACATCCATTTTATATTGCATAGCCAGCAGTGAGGAATGATGAGAGTTGCAGTCTTGCTTTAGGTGTCATTGAAGTGTCCCCCCCCCCCCCCGTGCTCAATGCCCAGCTGCTTATCTTGTTGCATCCAATGTAACAAAATACCAGCAAGTTAAAGAACCTGAAAGCAGGACAATCACACTGAAAGACTCTCACAGGGTATCGGTTACTGGTCCTTCCTTATTCCCTCTCTCTCTCCTTCACAGCCTCCTTGCTGAGCTCTTAGCTCTCCAGGACTTTGAATCCAATCCTCGCTCTGCCATCTTACTAGATCTGTACTTTTACACCATTCAGTTCAGTCGGGAGCAGGGGTTCAACCGGGAACAGACCTCGGCCTTCTTCTCAATTGTGAAGGATGTACACGAGACCTGTGTGGGTAAGCCTTTTAGTGGCAGGAAGAATTTGGTTAATGGATTCTGTTTTTCTTTCCACAAGAACTCCAGGGTTTTCCCACTGATGCTCAGAGCAATTTCACATAGATGAGAATTGCCAATCACGGTATTTGTGAACATGCATTCAGGAATTTATATTTATCACTAACACTAGCATTTGCTTCAAGAACCTTTCACACAATTCATGACTTTCTCGCTATAGGAGTTGAGTTCTAGGAGGAGGAATTCTCAATACCTCTCCCTAAACTATCGGTCTCATGATTCCACAGGAAGAAAACAGAAGAGCTGAAGCGGAATCAAAGTTGCATTTCTGTGTTGTGTGAAAGGGCTCCTGTTCTACCTCCTGCCCATACTGAGCAAATGGATGTCCACAGGAACAGTGTAGTTTTGAACAGCTGAGAAAACTGAAGAGACACTCAGGGAAGAAGCAGAGAAGCCTTAATGTGAACCACTTAGGAATGTAAAGAAAAAATAGTTTCTATACCAAGGGCAGCTGTTGCTATAGGCTGCCGCAACATAAACTATGGCAGTGTCCTTCTGCCTTGACCCACTCCATTCTTACTCGTGTAGTACCCCAAGCCGAACTGCTTTGTTTGTTTTGTAGAGCCATAAGAGAAATGTAATAACAGCTTTTGCTAAAGAAGAGAAAACAGTGAAGTGTGAGGCGCTCTTCTCTTGGTTGCCAGTTGAGGAGCTCAGCTTTTGGGAAAGGACTTGATACAAATACAAGGAGGAAGGCTGGGACTAGATCACTGACTTACTTTTTACCACTTTCTTGCCTTATAGAAACACCACTGCCCAACGTGGAGGAGTGCTACAACTATTTCACTGAACTCATTTTCTGCCACTCCATTCGGGTGAGTGTCATGCCAGTCTGGGTAAACAACAGGAGAAGAGTTCAGCTGGAACCTCTTTTGGGCAACTGCCCCTTCTCTGCAACTACTCTGAGCTAAAGAGGAGAAAGCCATTAGTCTCCTCACTGGTTTCCTCCTCTTTCTTTTCACAGAGGCCCCCTTTCAGCATTGATCTCTTTGATCAAGACCACCTTGTGCTCATAACAGACTATATGATCAACACTTACTTCCGGCACTTCAAACTTTACAAATATGCCTTCACTCCACAGGTAAAGGAGTCCTTCCCTTTCCCCCAAAGCATGTTGAGAAAGAGTAAGGAAGATTGTCCCAGGAGAAGGGCAAAGACTTCTCTACACTTCCCAGACCATATTTTCCCTGCCGCCAAATGTGTGCTCTCCCACCTAGAAATCTCTAGAACTGATGGTTTAAGCTTTTATGTAGATCAGAACCCCCTGCGTCATTTGACAAAAAAGTATACGTTTTGGCCAAATCTGTTTTGTCTTTTGGAAGTGGGGCTTTTTGTAGTCTGTGCATCCATCAAAGGGTCACCGTTTGCCCTGGGCTTACCACAGTTTCCCATCTCCAGAGCAATTTGTCCGCTTCTTAATTTGACTTTTAAGAGCCAGTCCCTTGTTCCTGTCTTGCACTAAAAATTATACAACATAAATCCAGAATGTAGCAAGGTAGTAGAAGGGGTGGGAATAATCAGAAAATCCTGCAATGGCAACCCAGTATTGTCTCTCTTCTTAGGTGAGGTTGGACATATCGCTTACCTATATTGGGATGCCTGAACCAGAGCCCAAAGATGAAGGTAAGCAAAGGGATGCCACAATCCTTTCTGCAAAGCCATCTTTGTTAGACCAGCCAGACTTTTAGAAGAATACAAAAGCCAAGTTATTCTTTGAAAATGAGGACTTCTCACAAACACAAGAGTCTGAAGCCAAGTGAGGTGAGCCTTCCCTGCCCCAAAGGTTTATACAGTTCCCATCATCTCTATTCTCAGTCTCAAACCCTTTTAACTAAAAATGCCTGGGAAATGAACCAGTGTGGACCCTTCCTACTGTTGGGATTGTGGATACATCAGTCTGAATAGGGTTTTGAAGGACTTTCAAGGCTCTGGTAACCAATAATCACCACTAATGCTCTCCTCCACTTCAGAGTTATATTCATTAAGTTTATGAAATTATTTAAATAAACTGGTAATTGTTTGGTTGTATCAAGATTTAAAGATACAGCCATTCTTAGACCCCAGTCCTCCCTGCAACCTCTCCAAACAATTCAATATATTCTCAGTATCCTCAGACCTCACACCTCTGAGGATGCTTGCCATAGATGCAGGCGAAACGTCAGGAGAAATGCCTCTAGAACATGGCTCTATAGCCCGAAAAAACCCACAAGAACCTAATTCAATATATTTCTTTTTTTATAGAAGCAGCGGCTGAGAGTGCAGGCTTGTCACCTGTGCCGGAGGAAGCAGAGCTGACCCCTGTGCAGGAAGAAAGTAAGATGGAATACCTTTATGCAGAGGCCTTCATGTCTAGTGATACTGCAGTGAATTGGGTTAAAATGAGCTAGAAAATCCCTAGCTTTCAGATTGTCAATCCTGTACACATAAGGAAATCTCATGCAGCCTTTTCACCTCATTTCTTCTGTGAGATGAGGATAATAAATACTCTTCTGTTTCTGGGGACCCCAAAACCGCTTTCAAAGTTCAAGGGGGAGGAAGCTCCAGATTGACGGCAGGCCTTTATGAATTTTCCATACCTACATGTGTTTTTACAAAACAGTAACAACACAGAATATTGTGGCTACCATTACCACCAACTAAAGCAGTTAACAGTGTGACTGCTATGAAGACAGTGACAAAATCATAGATAGTATATATAGTATTTATAAAACTCTATTAAGCAAATGCAAATATAGCTATAAAGTAGGTTTCTAACTGGTCAATCGGGGGAGGGGGGCACTCAACTACATAGGAGTCTTTCTTGTCCCAAACATTGGAAGAAACTTCTAGGGTCTATATCCGTCTTACAAGGTGTTTGTAAATTTCACTGAGTTGATAAAGGAAGAATAGTTTATTGGGCAAGTGGGTTTATTAACAAAAGACCCTCACCATAAATATATAGCAGAGTAAATTATTAGCAGCAGCATGACCCAGCACCATTAGCCATGAGTGATAACAAGAACAAAAACACAGAGACCAATTTTGTCTCTTCCATAGGAGGTTTTTCTTTGTAGTAAAATAATATGATTGCACTATTTACAAGAATAAGATTTCCACAACACAAATAAAGTTTCTTTTGCTTCCACGCTGGGCTTCTTTCTCATGCAGATAAACAGTGCACTCTCACAGAGCTTCCTCTCACACCAAACTTATAGAGGAGCTTCACACAGTAGCTTTATACACAGCTTTACACACTGGGGCTTCTTTCACTGAAGCTTTTCACACCAAGCCTTCTCACACTTGGCCTTCTCATAGACTAAGGCCTACCTCACAGTGTGAGGCCGTCTCACAGTCGAAGGCCTATCTCACACTGTGAGGCCTTCTCTCACAGTCGAAGGCCTATTTCACACTGTGAGGCCTTCTCTCACAGTCGAAGGCCTACCTCACACTCATAGACTGAGACCTTTCTCCCACTGAGGTTTACCTCAGACTGACAGCTACTAAGCTACAGGCACATCTGCTTATATAGAGCTGCAGCTTTTACTGAGTCATTGCATCCATTTAACCCTTTCAGTGCTTGACTCACATTTTTGTAATTAAAAATACCTAATTAATTTTACGTATTTCTCTCAGTTTAACCATTTTTAAGGGCACAACAGTACAAACCTGTATCAGCAGGGAATATGTTCCAAGACCCATGAATAATAGCAAATCTTATATTTTGACAATATGTGGGCTGGAAGCTTATCACAGAATTGTGTGAGAGAATCTAGAGAGGCCCTCAAACATTTCTAGGGGGAATATTTTGGAGCAAAGGTAAATTAACCATGGATCTATACTGTATTTGAATATTTAGTTATGTATTATTTATAGGCCCGAAACATAGTGGTTTTTAAAACCAGGAACGAGTGCTCCCTCATCTTAGAATTGATCATGCTAGGATTCACTCTGCTTCAACCTCCTCCTAGGTCCCACTGCTGCCCTGAGGGAGTACATTGCAACCCAACTTAACCAGGAGCTGGCTCAGCTGCGACTTTCAGTAGAAGAGCGCTTAAAGACAACAGAGGAGCAGTTTGCTGCCAAACTGGTGCAACTGGAGAAGGGCCCCAGTGCCCGCAAAGGGAGCACCAGGGGCAGGAAGAAATGAGCTGCATGGGGAATGAGAGAGAGAAAATGGATTAGGCCTTTTCCTTTTGAAGGCCCTGCAAGGAGCTTAAGAGTTTCATTTCTGAAGTTTCTCAAGGATCAGAGATGGAGGTTGTATTGATTACTATTTGATACAGCAGCAGCAGGAATCACCTGGTTCTCTGGATATTGTGGGACAGCAATTCCCATAATTGCTCACTATTAGCTATGTCAGCCAAGGTAGATGGGAGTTGTAAATCCAACATCCTCTGGAGTGCTACACTTTGACCTTCCTTGAATGTGTTCGTTTTTAAGAGTGTGGCGTTATTTAGACAAAGCTACTGCAGAGATATTCCCAAGAAACTAGGTTTGCTGTGAAATCTTAAAGCAATAAAGAATATCCCAAGTGACTGGTCTTGTCATTGGTCATTTTCTGTGCCTTTTTCTGGGCCGGGCTTTAGCACAGCAGATTAATCACCAAGCTGCAATTAGTCTTGCCAAGCAGAAAGTTGATAGTTCAAAGCCCGGGTCAGGGTGAGTACCTGAACTTCTGCCCAGCTTCTTCCAACCTAGCAGTTCGAAAACAAATGGAAATAGATAGGAACTGCATTAAAGTGGAAAGGCATTTTAGGCATGGCGTTTTGATCGGAAAAAGGAGGAAGTTTACAAAGAAAATCTCTTTAGCAAGAAGATGAGGCAACAGCACCCCCCTGTGGCCAGAACCAAGCACAGCCTCCAAAGATGCCGAAAGACAGGAAAGTCTATATATATATATATATATATATACCTCTGTTTTGTCTTTTCATTGTATAATCAGCACTGAATGTTTGCTGCATATGTATTCTGTGATCCGCCCTGAGTCCCCTTTGGGGCGAGAAGGGCAGAATATAAGTACCGTAAGTAAATAAATAAAAAGGGTCCCTATTGACTCACCTTTTCTAAGCCTCTAATGTTGCCCCAAATGCTTAAATGGTTCCCCCGCTTGCAGAATTACTGATCCCTGGGGATCCGGTTCAGAATGGGGCTATACAAGTCTTGGTTGTTAGTCAATAGCCTTTATGAAAGCAACATCATATCCCAACAGAAATGCCTTATTCCTGCTTCGAGAAGTAAAGGAAGCCAGAGTCAAAGGTCGGTTTTGGAATTGTTCCATTTTTATTCCAATTCTGGCTTCATGGAGGGAGTGGGCAGAGGAATGATACAACTGCAAAAAATGTCATGATTCCACAGTGAAGGACCAGATCTGATCCCAAAATCCCACCCACACTGACTGGACATGATGCTTGTTCCCTTGGCGATGAGAAAAGAAGTGAGAAGAACTGAGGTCCAAAAGCTTCAGTTCTTGCACTGAACTGATGTCAGACTCCCAACAAGTCTGCCTAATATTTACACATGAAATAATATTGGTGCTCTGTACTCCTACTCACATTAATATAGGATTGCTTGGCCTTTCGAGAAGTATTAGGGAAGCCTTGTTCCGATTCGCCACGAACTCAAGTTCCCAAAATCCTTGCCTGTGCCCTGGAAAACTGGACCCTTTTGCATGCAAGGGCAAGTGGACCTCCCACAGGAGGGCCCAATGTCTTGCCATTCGGCTGAGAGGAGGTAAGGGAACAGGTCAGAGGGCCCCCTCTGCCTGCCCGCCTCCCTTGCAGGAGCCTGCAACTAGTCTTCATCTGCTCCCTAGTTGGGAGGGTCGTCCACCGTGGATGAAGGGCCTTCCTCGCCTTCCGCACTGAGCAGGACGAGCTGAATGGCCTTTGGGACGTTTTCGAAGAGGGCAGCCCGGTTCTGTTGCTCACCCTTTTTGACCCAGTGCCCATAGATGCGGAAGGCGCATGCGTCAATCAACTTGCGCACCCCCTTGAGCGAATAGGGGTCACTAAGCAGGAGCTCCTTGGTGACGGGCCGCACCCGCCGGTAGTTGGAGAAGATGCGGAGAGAGGCCCGCACGGTCCAGGCAATGACCTGCAGAAGGGAAGAAGTAGGAATGACCACTGAATAGCTAACACTCCACAGGGACTATATCCCAAGTTCGAGATGGAGAGGAAAAGGCAGGAGGAGAATAAAGAACATGAGTGCATCCATGGAGCATCTCAAAAGTTTTGTCTATTTGACAAATGGGCCACTTCTATCCCTCTTCCTGGAACTTTGCAGACTATGCATTCCCTCAATCTCACAAACCGTCTCCCAGTATTTGTAAATGAGAGATATGTTGAAGGTGCAGTTTACAATATCCCTTTTTAACAAAAGGATCTGGTGAGTCATGATACCAAGGGATTGTAATAGCTAGTAATAACTATTATCTATGGGTTTGCACAATCCCCTCGTGACCTCTGAACCACTGCCCTATGGCTTGAAGGGACTTGCTGGCACAAGTCTCCTTCCAGCTTTGCACGCTCCCCCTCATCCGTACATGCGCACCATGCTGCCATGCGCTGAGCACACCTGCTCTCCCCTCCACGTTTGGAGTCTCCGAAACAGCACTCCCCTTGGCTGAGAAATTGGATGAGAGGCCAACAGCAGAGGAGAGCTTTTGGTGGGAGGATTTGCCATCTGTTTCCAAAAAGGAAGAGAAAGACAGGCGGAGAGATCTTCAGCCTTCTCTGCCAAAAGGGTTCCTAAGACCATCAGAAATATATGTTTTCTGATGGTCTTCGGCGACCCCTCTGAAACCCGCTCGCAACCCCACCAGGGTTCCCGACCCACAGGCTGAGAAACACTGCTGTAGACCATTTTAACTGAAAACAGAAACATCTGAGACAAAATGGAGGCCTGTGACTCTTAACATCATCACTTTTCTCCTCTTGTATGAATTTTAGTAAATAATAAATGTGACCAGGAGGAAGGAGACTTACCCTGAATTTGCGATAGGGACTGAAATGCCGGCACTCCTTCCCATAGCGATGGAAGAAAGGGTGTTGCAGAGCCTGTTCAGCTGTCAAACGTTCTGCTGGATCCACCTGAAGCAGCCGTGAAATCTGCAAGACGTTATTGGGTCGTCAGGACATTTAGGAAAAAGTCTGACGCAAAGGCCACACTGCTGGATCACAACACAGAAAGGTACAGGATTCGGAGCAAAAGGACCACAGTCAGCACTCTATCTTTTGGGATTAAGTTCTGTAGATGTGATTATTCAAGGAGTTGGTTAATATGACATTATGTTCTCTGTAGGAATCTCTATGTTCTAAGTGGCTCTACCATCAACTTTGCCAGATGCACATTTTTCAAGGCAAAAATCCTATGTCTATAGAAAAAGGGTTTTGAAACTCAAGGGTCTTCCCTTTCTTTGAAAAGCTGAAGCAAGATTCTTGAAACCACAGACTTCCTTGATTCTGCAGAAGTCTCAAAGTAAGAGTGTCTCTTAAGCTTACATGTAATGTGTTGCCGAAGGCTTTCATGGCCAGAATCACTGGGTTGCTGTGAATTTTCTGGGATGTATGGCCATGTTCCAAAAGCATTCTCTCCTGACGTTTCACCCACATCTATGGCAGGCATCCTCAGAGGTCTAAGATCTACAGAACACTCGCTGGAACACCTCAGCAAGCGAGAGTCCAAAAGTGGCAGGCTCAAACCCAGAACCTCAATCAATGGCTGATACCAAATGAGAGACTCCCCCTGGGCACACAGAAAACTGGGTGACTTGGAAGGCGCTGAACAGACTGCACTCTGGCACCACGAGATGCAGAGCCAATCTTAAGAAATGGGGCTACAAAGTTGAATCCACGACATGTGAGTGTGGAGAAGAGCAAACCACTGACCACCTGCTGCAATGCACCCTGAGCCCTGCACAATGGAGGACCTCCTTGCGGCAACACCAGAGACACTCCAAGTGGCCAGATACTGGTCAAAGGACATTTAATCAACTACCAAGCTTGCAAACTTTGTATTTTGTCTGTTTGTTTGCTTGTTTGTTTAAAAATACAACACAACTCTTCGGTCTGCTCCTGACACGATAAATAAAATAAATATCCTCAGAGGTTGTGAGGTCTGTTGGAAACTAGGCAAGTGGGGTTTATATATATATGCCCAGGGTGGGAGAAAAAACTTATCTGCTTGAGGCAGGTGTGAATGTTGCAATTGGCCACCTTGATTAGAATTTTTTGGCCTTGCAGCTTCAATGTCTGGCTGGTTGCTGCCTGGGGGAATCCTTTGTTGGGAGGTGTTAGCTGGCTCTGATTTATTCTTGTCTGGAAGTCCCCCTTCTTTTGAGCATTACTCTTTATTTACTGTTCTGATTTGAGAATTTTTTAAAATACTGGTAACCAGATTTTGTTCATTTTCATGGTTTTTTCCCTTTCTAAAGACAAGTGTTCCTCAAGCAGAGTAAATATAAACATAGCGTAAAATTATTAACAACATATGTACTAGGAAGAGTGAATAAAAATAACACTCAAAAAAGGGAGATACCAGAAAAGAAACAATCAGACCCAGCTAGGATTCTCCCAGGCAGTAAGCAGTCATATTTGAAGCTGTAAGGCCATTCAATGCTAATCAAGGTGGCCAATTGCAACACTCACACTTGCCTCAAACAAACAAGAGTTCTTTGTCCCACCCTGGACATTCCACAGATATATAAGCCACACTTGCCTCGTTTCCAACAGACCTCACAACCTCTGAGGATGCCTGACACAGATGTGGTTGAAACATCAGGAGAGAATGCTTCCGCAGCATGGCCATACAGCCTGGAAAACTCACAGCAACCCAGTTACATGTAACTCTTTACTCCTTATGTAAATGCACAATTAATCAGATATACAAGTGTAGTCTTAGTTGTCCCAACCTTAGTCTTTTCTAATGACAGACAGCCCCAGATATGTGACAGTTATGCAACTTCCAAAAACATCGTACCAGGTCCTTGACTGTGTCCGACCGGTCATCCCACTCTGGCGAGCCAAACTGATACTGCCCTTCCATGATCATCCGGAGCATCAGCATCTGCTTGCGATGCCAGAAAGGAGGAGAGCCGGCCAAGAGAGTGAAAAAGATGACTCCACAGGCCCAACTGTGGGAGATGGGAGAGAAAAAGAGCTATATTTTTCCGTACCTGCTCCAGACCCATCCTCCATCATAAACCAAAAAAAGATGGCTGAGGAACTGGAAAAAGTTCAGCATCACAGTTGTTCATATTTTCTTAGAATATCATTAATTTATTTGTAAAGCCATGCTACTAGATCTTACAACAGTGAGGAAACAGCCCACAAACGTACATAATCATATAAAGGGAAGCCTATTCTGTCCTAACAATTCTCCAGAACTCAACCCAGTGAGAAGACTGAAAGGACACCTGCTGAAATAGCCTCTTCCACACAGCCATTCAAGCAGTGGTTCTCAACCTACTTAATGCCAGGACCCCTTAATACCGTTCCTCATGTTGTGGTGACCCCCAACCATTACATTTTTTTTTGCTACTTCATAACTGTCATTTTGCTACTGTTATGAATCATAATGTAAATATCTGATATGCAGGATGTGTTTTCATTCACTGGACCAAATTTGTCACCAATACCCGATACGCCCAAATTTGAATACTAGTAGTGTTGGGGGTGGGGATTGGTTTTGTCATTTAGGAGTTGTAGTTGCTGGGATTTATAGTTCATCTACAATCAAAGAGCATTCTGAACTCCCGCCCTGAGTCCCCCCAGGGGTTGAGAAGGTCGGGGTAGAAATGTTCGAAATAAATAAAAATAAATAAATAAACTCCACCAATGATGGAATTGAACCAAACTTGGCACACAGAACTCCCAACAGAAATATACTGGAAGGATTTGGTGGGCATTGACCTTGAGTTTTGGAGTTGTAGTTCACCTACATCCAGGGAGCACTGTGGACTCAAACACTGATGGATCTGGACCAAACTTGGCACGGATACTCAATATGCCCAAATGTGATCAATTGTGAAGTTTGGGGAAGATAGACCTTGGCATTTGGGAGTTGTAGCTGCTGGGATTTATAGTTCACTTACAATCAAAGAGCGTTCCGAACACCCCCAATAATAGAAATTCCCACACAGAAGCCCCATGACTAACAGAAAATACTGTGTTTTCTTTGGCGACTGCTGTGACATCCCCTAGTGACCCCCCCCCCAGGGGGTACTGACTCCCAGGTTGAGAAACGCTGCATTAAAGGAACATAAGGCCTGTCCAGTTTTCATTCTGGCAACCCTGCCCTAGTCCCACCCCTTAAAGGATAGAAACCAGTGCAACTTACAGGTCCACCTCCTTCCCATATCCAGCGTGCGTCTCATCCATGGAGCATTTTAGGATCTCGGGAGCCAAGTAGCCTGGCGTTCCACACAGCTCTAAGAGAAAGGGGTTGATAGAATCAAAGAAAGAAAAGAAACTCAAGATAGGGATATCAGGGCAGCAGCCGTAGCTGTTCATAGATGTTCAGCCCACCAAAAGCAACCCCTCCCTATCGAAAGTAGCAATGGTCAGAAGTCTACCCTTATGGTCAACTGCATTCAGCTGCTCCAAGACAGAGCCCTAAAAATGGATCTACCCCCCAAATTTAGAAAAAAAAATTACTATTTTGATTCTTGAAGGCTGGCATGGCCGGAATCACTGAGTTGCTGTGAGTTTTCCGGGCTGTGTGGCCACGTACTAGAATAGTTGTCCTCGAACTATGGTCCAGGGGCTGGATACGGCCCTCCAAGGTCATTTACCCAGCCCTTGCTCAGGATCAACTTACGTCTGAAATGACTTGAAAGCACACAACAATCCTATCTCACCAGCCAAAAGCAGTCCCACACTTCCCATTGAAATACTAAGTTTATATTTGTTAAAATTGCTCTTCATTTTAATGATTGTATTTTAAGTGTTTTTGCACTACAAATAAGAGATGTGCAGTGCATATAGGAATTCATTCATGTTTTTTTCAAATTATAATCCGGCCCTCCAACAGTTTGAGGGATTGTGACCTGGCCCTTTGTTTAAAAAGTTTGAGGGCTCCTGTTCTAGAAGCATTCTCTCCTGGTGTTTTGCCCACATCTATGGTAGGCAATCCCTGAGGATGCCTGCCATAGATGTAGGCAAAATGTCAGGAGGGAATGCTTCTGGAACATGGCCAGACAGCCCGGAAAACTCACAGCAACCCATTACTATTTGGGATTATAACTGCTGTCAGTGGGTCCATATCTCCCCACCCCTCCCTCCAATTCCATCCCCACCTCGCAGCTTCTCCCCCGGCTCCAAGTGGCAGGAGAAGCCGAAATCTGAGAGCTTGATGGTGAGTTCATCATCCATAAGGATGTTCTCGGGCTTGAGGTCTCGGTGGATGATGTGGTTGGCGTGAAGGTAGCTCACGGCCTCCAAAAGTGCTCGCATGATACACCTGAAAGCAAGCCAGAAAAGAAGTTTCGGCTGCTGCAGTCATCATTGCGGGCTGGAACACAACAAAAGGGACTTTTCTCCCTCTCAGGCCTCTGCAAAGGGCACTGTGCCTTACCTAGTCTCTTTCTCACTCAGGGTTACCTTCTCGGTAAGGTAGTCAAAAAGCTCTCCACGCCTCATCCTGCAGGGAAAACGTGGTCAGATAAATCTCTACCTTGCAATAGCAGTAAGCAACACTGTGGGGCCAGGGATGGATGGAATTCTACCCCACAATGCCCAAGTCTCAAGTCCTCAATGAGAAAATGATGACAGGAACTTTCATGACATCGCTTTTTGTCACCATTTTGAGAGGGACGGCAGAGAAAAATGAATATATTTTGGAGATGTACATAATTCTGGTGTATTTCTGGGGGTGGGGGGGGGGGAAATGTTGATATTCTTGCATGCTTTCACACATGGGGTAGGCTTTCTGTGTGATTTCGAAGCAAAACATAAATTGAGGAAGGGAACAAGCTTGTTTTCTGTTGCTCCAGAGACTAAGAAACACAGCAACAGAAAAAAATTGCAAGGAAATATTTCTCCCAAACATTAAGAAGAACCTCCTGATGGTAAGAGCTGTTCAGCAGTGGAATATGCTCATTGGAGTTCAGTGGAGTTTTTTAAAGGCTAGATGTATTGTCAAAGGCTTTTATGGTTGGAATCACTGGGTTGTTGTGAGTTTTCTGGGCTGCACGGCCATGTTCCAGAAGCATTCTCTCCTGAAGTTTCTCCCACATCTATGGCAGGCATCCTCAGAGGTTGTGAGGCCTGTTGGAAACTAGGCAAGTAAGGTTCATATATGTTTATCCCACCTTGGACATTCCACAGATATATAAATCTCACTTGCCTAGTTTCCAACAGACCGCCCACATCTATGGCCTTGTGAGTTTCCAACAAACCTCACAACCTCTGAGGATGCCTGCCATAGATGTTGGTGAAATGTTAGGAGAGAATGCTTCTGGAACATGGCCATAGAGCTTGGAAAACTCACAGCAACCCAACAGCTTCTGCTTCTAGTGCTTTGATACTTACAAATCAAATACCAGGAACATGAAGGTGGAGGTCTCATAGGAATCTATAAGAGTAACTGCGGGTGGAAAGAAAAAGGAGTCAGATTACGCAATAATACCATGTCGGGGCCAGTCCTACCATTAGAAACATTGCGCCAATGTTGAGGCATAATGTGTTCCTTCTGAGCACACACATTCTGACTAAAAGACAAAACTACGCATAGCATGTCCGAGACTTCCTTTCGCCACCCGTGACTTAGGTGCTTATTTCAACATTATTTGCACATTGTTTCCGATGGGACACATTACTACAGTGACGCAAGGCTCAGAGTAACTTGTTATCCCCTTGCAGGCTATATTATTGATTCAAGGTTTTGTGAAATAAGCTCGCTCCAGGGTGATTGGGAAAAGGAAAAGGATGTCAACACAAAGGTCCTAGGATGAGTTTTTAGATTACCAAACATGGCTTGTAAAGTGGGATTAATTGAGTACAGGAAACAAGAGCCCAGTATATAATTACTGAGAATTAATAAACGCATCATCTGATAGCTTCCAGATCAGTGGAGTGTTCAATCTGCTCCGGGTTTAATCTGAACCTTAAAGGAAGTATTAAAGGTGTCTAACTTGTTTTTGTTGGGTGAGTGGGCTTAATAACAAAAGACCCTCCCCATAAATGTACAGCAGAGTAACATAGCAGCAGCGTGAACCAGCACCAGTAGCCCAAAGTGATAAAAAGAACGTAAACACACAGGCCAATGTTATCTCTTCCATAGGAGGCTTTTCTTTGTAGTAAAACAATATGGTTACACTGTTTACAAGAACTAGATTTCCATAACACAAATAAACAAATCATAGTAGCTTTACACACAGCAGCCTTCACACTGGAGCTTTCTCACACAAGGCTTCTCTCACACAGAGGTTTGCCTCACACTCCTCAGGACGACACTAGCTTTGGCCCACTAACTCTAACAGGCTTCAGTCTACTCACTCTCCTTAGCATGACACTAGCTTCAGCCCACTGACTCTAACAGGCTTTGGACTACTCACTCTCCTCAGAACAACACTAGCTTTAGACCAGTGACTCTAACAGGCTTCGGCCTACTAACTCTTTCAGTGCTTGACTCACATTTTTGTAATTTAAAATACCTAGTTAATTTTTAATATTTCTTGGAGAGCTCCTTCAATATCTGGACTAAAACCAAGATCAGACTGTCTACTCCATTGTCCAAATGTTCCTAAATGTACAAAATGTACCTAAATGTAATTACAGTAAGAAACCCGTATCTACAGGGGATGTGTTTCTGAATGGACCTCAGGTGTGTGTGTGTGTGTATAGTGTGTGTGTGTGTGTGTGTGTATGTGTGTGTGTGTGTATATATATATATATATATATATAGTGTGTGTGTGTGTATATATATATATTCAATCAATCAATCAATTTATTAATGCACTGACCAATGGTCATATGCATTTACTAGGCATGGGCAATCCATAGTTCTAAATGGTTCTAAAGTACTTACAAAACTAGATGACGCTGGTGCTTTGCTTCTAAAGTGTTGCTAAAGTTCTGGTGGTGAAAATTTCAGAACTCTAACAAAACTTTCAAAATTTCATTATTATTTCGTTATTGGCTATTGTTATAACCAAATTTTGAAAGTTTTGTTAGAGTTCTGATATTTTCACCACCAGAACTTTAGTAACACTTTAGAAGCAAAGCACCAGCGCCCCCTAGTTCTGTAAGCAGCGCCATTTAGAACCATGGATTGCCCATGCCTCGTATTTACACCAACATCAAATAAATGAAACTGCAGATATGACCAATTCCATTTGATCACCTCATTTCCACTCTCAATATAACATATAGTTGCATTGATGGACCTAGATATTCCTAGAGAAATATATTTTCTTGAAATGTGCCGGATCCTCCAATGCTGTTCTATGGTAATGTTCAGGGGAAGTATAGCATCCAATTGCCTGGAGGATCTAACAGATTTCTAGAGGGACCATTTTCCTCTCAAGTGTGGGTAAGTGAAACCACAGATATGGGTTCAACTGTTATAAGGTTCTTACTTTGCAGGAGAAAAATATTAAATGAAGTTTGAGTGAAAATGCCAGGATACACATGAAGGTTTCAGAGAAGTATGCTTGGAGGAAATCTCTACTTACTGATGAAGGGATGGCCAGAGACCTGGCGCAAGATGGCAATCTCTTTGCTGGTTGACGAGCGCACCTCCTCCAGTTGCTGTGGAGTCATGCGCTCTGGGGTTACCTCGATAATCTTCACCGCATACTCCTGCCCTGTTTGCTTGTGGATGCATCGCCGGACCACACTGCTCACTCCCCTGCAGGCGGATATCATGGGTGGGAAGAGAATGGGAAAAAAATCCAAAACAAGGGTGAAGTTTCCAGAAACACCGAAAACACTGTGGGAAGGAAACACAAGATCTTCCTCTTTCCATACTATCTTTATATATAAAATCTCAGCCTGCGTATATTTGTGCTCGCAAAACTCAAAAAGTAGTTGGTCAATTGACTTGACATTTTGACACAACATTGCATTCGAATACACATGTGTATTTAGAGTAAAGAAAGCAGTCCGGGAATAGACAAAGTGGAATCTGGGATGCCCAAAGTAACCACTCACAGCCTAGCTTTCATTTTACCTCAGCAGCATAAGAAATGAAAACTGAGCTCTAGCAACCAATTGCTGCATTGTTTTCCTTTTACCTCAGCAGTAGAGGTAAAAGGAAAACAGTGCAGCAATTGGTTGTTAGAGCTCAGTTTTCATTTCTTATGCTGCTGAGGTAATAACAACAAAGAAATAACAGCATATCACAGAGCAGCTTTCATTTTACCTCAACTGAAGAAGAAATAACAGTCAATCACACCACAGCTTTCCTTTTACCTCAGCAATATAAGAAAAAACCAAGCAATCACAGAGCAGCTGTCATTTTACCTCAGCAGTATAAGAAATGAAAGCTGTGCTGTCTTTAGTTGCTATTGGCAACTTATGAAATCTTATTAATAGGAAACTATGAAAATGAAATCAAGGAGGAAACCATAAAAATAACCAAAATCTGGCTACCAGTATTAAAAGACTTAAGATCAAAATAGTAAATAAAGATCAACACTCAAAAAACAGGGGAATTCCAGACAAGAAACAATTAGGACAAGCTACCCACCTCCCAACAAAGGATTTCCCCAGGCAATAAGCAGCCAGACCTTGAAGCTGCAAGGCCATTAAATACTGATCAAAGTGGCCAATTGTAACATTCACACTTGCCTCAAGCAGACAAGAGTTCTTTCTCCCGTCCTGGATGTTCCACAGATATATAAACCCCACTTGCCTAATTGAATCCAGACAAAACAGAGGTACTCCTGATCAGTCGTATGGCCGAGCAGGGCATAGGGTTACAGCCTGTGTTGGATGGGGTTACACTACCCCTGAAGACGCAGGTTCGCAGCTTGGGAGTAATCCTGGATTCATCGTTGAGCCTTGAACCCCAGGTTTGGGTGGTGACCAGGGGAGCATTTACACAATTAAAACTTGTGCGCCAGCTGCGCCAATACCTTGGGAAGTCTGACTTGGCCATGGTAGTCCACGCTTTGGTTACATCCTGTATAGAGTACTGTAACGTGCTCTACGTGGGGTTGCCTTTGAAGGCTGTTCGGAAGCTTCAAATGGTCCAACGGGCAGCATCTAGATTACAAACAGGAGCAGCGCTCAGGGAGCATACAACTCCTCTGTTGCGCCAGCTCCCCTGGTTGCCAGTTTGCTACCGGGCACAATTCAAAGTGCTGGCTTTAGCCTTTAAAGTCCTAAACAGTTCTGGCCCAGCTTACCAGTCCAAATGTACCTCTCCCTATCAACCAGCTAGGAGAGGAGGCCTTACTCTCGGTCCTTCCTCCTTTGCAGATGCGATCGGCAGTAATGAGAGACAGGGCCTTCACAGTGGTGGCCCCTTGGGTATGGAACACCCTCCCTAGGGATATTAGATCAACCCCCTTCCTCCTAACATTTCGAAAAACAGTTAAAACCTGGCTTTTTGAGCAAGCATTTGCAAATGCAGTGTAACAGGCTAACTCAGATCCACGGAACTATTGGACTACGAGATTGGAAAATGACTTTAGTAATGAAACGCTGAGGGCTTATGTTGGTCGAGAATGATGGATCTCGACCAAACATGGCATGGATACTCAATTTGCCCAAATGTGAACACTGGTGGAGTTTGGGGGAAATAGACCTTGACATTTGGCAGTTGTAGTTGCTGGAATTTATAGTTCACCTACAATCAAAGAGCATTCTGAACCCCACCACTGATAGAATTGGGCCAAACTTCCCACACAGAACCCCGATGACCAACAGAAAATACTGTTTTCTCATGGTCTTTTATAACCCCTCTGACACCTCCTCGCAACCCCCACAGGAGTCCAGAGGGGTCCTACCCTCAGGTTCAGAAACGCTGTACTACATTATCAATTTCCTGATATTGACACAGTATTTTTTAGGTGAGATCTGACCAAAGCAGTTACATATTATCTACCGCTGAATGTTCAACGTATCCCCTTCTAATCCCATCTCGAACCCACCTGCCAATAACATCCTTGGGGTCATACTTCTGGTAGAACTCCTTGGCTCCGGCCCAATCTGGGAGCTCATCGTCCAGACCCACGTCCCGGGTCATCCTGCAGAAGGGTTGGTCGGGTGAGATGTGTAGACCGGACGCCTGAAAAACAAAGCAAGGGGGGGATAACAGTAAGTGAGAAGACGGCAATGAAGTGAACAGTTCATGGGACAGACTGGCACACACTTTCCCAAGAATCATAGAGTTGGAAGAGACCTCATGGGCCATCCAGTCCAACCCCATTCTTCCAAGAAGCAGGAAAATTGCATTCAAAGCACCCCTGACAGATGGCCATCCAGCCTCTGTTTAAAAGCTTCCAAAGAAGGAGCCTCCACCACACTCCGGGGCAGAGAGTTCCACTGCTGAACAGCTCTCACAGTCAGGAAGTTCTTCCTAATGTTCAGATGGAATCTCTTTTCCTGTACTTTGAAGCCATTGTTCTGCATCCCAGTCTCCAGGGCAGCAAAAAACAAGCTTGCTCCCTTCTCCCTATGACTTCCTTTCACATATTTATACATGGCTATCATATCTCCTCTCAGCCTTCTCTTCTTCAGGCTAAACATGTCCAGCTCTTTAAGCCGCTCCTCATGGGGCTTGTTATCCAAACCCTTGATTATTTTAGTTGCCCTCCTCGGGACACATTCCAGCTTGTCAATATCTCTCTTCAATTGTGGTGCCTAGAATTGGACACAATATTGGATACAAAGGGAAGACCCTTTCTTGCTAGAGGCCACAGTGACTAAGCAGTGGAAGTCACTCCAGCAGCTGGAGAGATAAGGAGGGCAATAAAGATAAGAGGCAAAGGGAATAGGATGCAAGGAATCCCTTGTGCAGATAGAGACATTCTGATCCACACGTTGCGTTTTCAAGAACGATAAACATGAAAGATTTCATTGGGAAGAAGAGCCCAATCTGTAAACAGAGCATTGCATATGATGGGCCTATAATTTCAAATCGTAGAATGTTTACCTTTCTTTACCAAGGAATAGAAAACCTAGGGCTTCCCAGATTTTTTGGAATATAACTCCCATAATCCTGTCAAAGAATCATCGAGTTGGAAGAGACCACATGTGACATTTAGTCCAGCCCTCAACCATGCAGGAAAAGCACAATCAAAGTGCCCGACAGATAGCCATCCAGCCTCTACTTAAAAGTCTCCAAAGAAAGAGCTCCCACCACACTCTGAGGCAGAGACTTCCACTGTTAAACAGCTGTTTGCCACTGTCCATGATGGATTTATAGGGCAAAAGAGGATCGTGTTCCCTACCTTCCTATTGGGCCATCAAACAATTCCAAATCAAAAGGAATAGAATAACAAAGAGATAGAAACATTCAGATAATAAATGTGAGATTTGTAGCATTGAGTTTTTGTGAGTTTTCCGGGCTGTGCAGCCATATTCCAGAAGTATTCTTTCCTGACGTTTCGCCTGCAGAGCAAGGGCTCCACAGTTAGTAAGCCGGGCATCTGCATCTGTATTGTCATTTAGCTTTTGGGATTTTTAAAGTCCTTTCTGCTGCTTTTGGGGGGGGGGGGTGGTTATGAGTGATGGTCACTCGTTGGCCTAATACGTGTATGGTGTCCAAATTTGGTGTCAATTTGCCCAGTGGTTTTTGAGTTATGTTAATCCCACAAACTGGGATTGCAGCTAAACTTTGGCCACATATTGAGAAGAAAGGAAAGCTTAGAGAAGACAATGATGCTGGGGAAAATGGAAGGAAAAAGGAAGAGGGGCTGGCCAAGGGCAAGATGGATGGATGTCATCCTTGAAGTGACCGGCTTGACCTTCATGGGGGTGGTGACGGTTGACAGGGAGCTCTGACATGGGCTAGTTCATGAGGTCACGAAGAGTCGGAAGCGAGTGAACGAATGAACAACAACAACACAAACAAACATTACATTTTTATTTATATACATACTAGCTGTACTTGTCACGTGTTGCTGTGGCCAGCCTTCCCTCCCTCTTTCTCTTCTTTCTTTCTTTCTCTCCTTCCTTCCCTTTTTTTCTTTCATTCTCTTCCTTCTCTTCCTCTTCCTTTCTTTTCCCCCTTATCTTTCCCTTCCTCTTTCTTCCTTCTCTGCCAATTCTTGGACTGCAACTCCCAGCAATCCTCCTGATAGATCTATCTACCTACCTACCTACTTATCTGTCTCTATCTAATCTATCTACCTGGAGGATTGCTGGGAGTTGCAGTCCAGGAATAGGAAATTGTAAATATGCAGGGATTGGGATGCTCTCAAAAAAATCTGAGGAGAAGAAAGCTTGCAGCTTGGAAACAGTGCATTTGGATCATCCTCCTCTCCTAAACGGCCTGGTCGAGGAGATGCTGGGAGTTGTAGTCCGGAAGAGAGTGTGGCTATGCTATTGTGTGTTTTGTTTGCCGGGGGAATCCTTTTGTGCGTGCGCTGTAGCGTCTTTGGGGGGGGGGGGGGGTTTAGCTTTTTAAGTCTCTTCCACTGTGTTTTTCAGTGTTTTTATGAGTGATGGTCACTCATTGGCCTGATAGGTGTATTGTGTCCAAATTTGGTGTAAATTCATCTAGTGGTTTTTGAGTTATGTTAATCCCACAAACTAACATTACATTTTTATTTATATAGAAGATACTAGCCGTCCCCTGCCACGCGTTGCTGTGGCCCAGTCTGGTGATCTTGAAAATAAAGTAACGAGAAAGTGTTGGTTTCTAATATATGCAATGTCTTGATGCTTGTGGATAAACAGTACTTCTTGTTGTTTCTTTGTCAGTGTTGATGTAGAGATTGTCTGGTTTGCCTACTCTGGAACATGCAACATATTATTGTCCTTCTTTAGGGGTCCTTTTCAAATCTATAATACTATATCTCTCTGTGTGTGTGAATCATGTATACCTATATCTATGGCTGCATGGCTCTTTGTCAGGAGGGCTTTGTTTACATTTTCTTGCCCTGGTGAAGGGAGTTGGACTGGATGGCCTTCAGTATTTTCTGTTGGTCATGGGGGTTCTGTGTAGGAAGTTTCACCCAATTCTATCGCTGGTGGAATTCAAAATGTTATTTGATTGTAGGTGAACTATAAATCCCTGTAACTACAACTCCCAAATGTCAAGGTCTATTTCCCCCAAACTCCATCTGTGTTCATATTTGGGCATATGGAATATTCATGCCAAGTTTGGTCCAGACGCATCATTGTTTGAGTCCACAGTGTTCTCTGGAAGTAGGTGAACTACAACTCCCAAACTCAAGGTCAATGCCCACTAAACCCTTCTAGTGCTTTCTGTTGATCATGGGAGTCCTGTGTGGTTCAATTCCATCATTGGTGGAGTTCAGAATGCTCTTGGATTGTAGGTGAACTATAAATCCCAGCAACTATAACTCCCAAATGACAATTTTTTTAGTGATGGTCACTGCTTGGGTTAGTAGGTGGTTTTTGAGTTATGTTAATCCCACAAACGAACATTGCATTTTTATTTATATAGATGATCTCCAATTCCTGTGATTCACCTTCCTTGCCTCAATCTCAGCATCTACATCAGGCATGGGCCAACTTGGGCCCTCCAGGTGTTTTGGACTCCAACTCCCACAATTCCTAACAGCCTATCGGCTGTTAGGAATTGTGGGAGTTGAAGTCCAAAACACCTGGAGGGCCCAAGTTGGCCCATGCCTGGTCTACACTATAGCATTAACACAGTTTGACCCCCCCTTAACTGCTATACCCCAAAACTATGGAATCCTGGGAGTTGTAGTTTTTTCAGTCCTCTCTGCCAAGTCTGCTGATGCCTCCTGAAACTAAAACCCAGGATTCCATAGCATTGAGCCCTGGCAGTTGTGTTAGCACTCTGCACAAGCTCAGAGGCACTCTTGCCTTAGGCTTCATGGCCTAGCATGGGCCAAAAAAGGACTGGGCTTCTGCGGGGAAGGGAAAGGAAAGGCTGCTCCACAAAACTCAGCCCCAAAGGGCACCCCCAAGACGTCATCAAGCCCCGCCCCCCGCGCGCGAGACCCTCACCCGGCAGCGCCTTTCGCAGAGACTGAATGACCCCAACCACAGCCGGCGACTCCCAGTCCCCGCCTCCTTTGCTTTCCGATTGGTCCAGCTTGTCAATGAGTGACAGCACCCTTGCGCCAATCCAAAAAGGGATACTGTGCGGTGGGTGGAATGTACTGAAGACGAAGCCTATGAGACGAAAAATTGGAGGGGGATTGACGGGAGGAGGAAGGTTGGCAACAGCCAATCAGAGTTCAGAGGCTGAAATAATGGGCGGGGCTTAAAACGGGAAGGGGGCCGCTTCCTATTTTGAGCACTAGAGGGCGAGAGGAGAAGTTGTCAGCCAATCGGAGGACGCGCCGAGGAGGGAGGGAAAGGAGGCATGTTATTGACACGCCGGGGAACCAATCGGCTGCCGGATTGTGAAGCCGCATTGAGAAGAGGCGCTTGGAAAACAAAGCCTGGGTCGAGCAACAGCCAATCGCGGGCGACGGAGGGCGGGACATAACAGGGAGGGGTTCATTCGAGGTTCCACAATAGAGAGTTAGAGGTCAGGGTGAGGTCGTGGTTTTGGCTGTTCTCCTTCAGTTCCTGGAGGTGTATTTTGGCGAGGCCCCAGCATTCTTTGCCAAGGAAAGGCTCTTAGAGGCCTTAAAAAGCCACCTCTCCCAGGATTCCATAGCATTCAGCCATGGCAGTTAAAGTGGTATCAACCCGCATTAAGTCTACAGTGTAGATGCACCCATAGTCCAGAAATCTCATTGTGTGCTCTCTATTTGATGGTAGTTTTTGTTCAAAGAAACTAATGTGGACTGTCTGCTTTGATAATCTGGATAATCAAAGGGGTTTGCGAACCCCGTTCGCAAACCGGATCGGGGTATAGGGTGGCTACCTGTGTTGGACGGGGGTTACACTCCCCCTGAAGCCACAGGTCCGTAGCTTGGGAGTCCTCTTGGACTCATCGCTCACGCTTGAGGCTCAGGCCTGGGCGGTGTCCGGGAGGGCTTTTGCACAACTGAGACTTGTGCACCAGCTGCGACTGTACCTCGCGAAAGCTGATTTGGCCGGGGTGGTCCATGCCTTGGTCACCTCCAGATTGGATTACTGCAATGCGCTCTACGTGGGGCTGCCCTTGAAGACGTCTCGGAAATTCCAACTGGTCCAACGGGCAGCAGCCAGGATGTTAACCGGGGCTCATTACAGAGAGAGGTCAACCCTCCTGTTTAAGGAGCTCCACTGGCTGCCGTTTATTTTCTGAGTCCAATTTAAGGTGCAGGTGCTTACCTACAAAGCCCTGAACGGTTTGGGGCCACCCTACCTGCGTGACCGCATTGTTGTCTACGAACCCACACGTTCACTCCGGTCATCTGGAGAGGCCCTGCTCGTGGTACCGCCCGTGTCACAAGCGTGCTTGGCGGGGACACGAGACAGGGCCTTTTCTGTGGTGGCCCCCCGACTTTGGAACGCCCTCCCGAAAGATCTCAGACAGGCCCCTACATTGGCAGTCTTCAGAAAGAATTTGAAGACTTGGCTGTTCCGATGTGCCTTTTCAGATTAGGAACCCCCAGCACCAAGTCCTTGAAGCACTTTAGTAGAACCAAGATCACTGCACACTGTCCTTACTTTATAATCCTACATTCCTCCCGCCACATCAGCACTTTTAACCATGTACCCCTACCCTGGCTGGTCCAGTTTTAAATTGTGTCCCGTTGTATTGTTACTGTTATTGTTTTCTTGCTTAACTGTTTTTAATTTGCTTTATGTATTGTATTGTTTTATTGTGTTTTTGGGGCTTCGGCCTGTGTAAGCCGCATCGAATCCCTTGGGAGATGCTAGCGGGGTACAAATAAAGTTAATAATAATAACAATAATAATAATATGGCAGTGTAGAAGGGGCCTAAGATGCACCCTCATTTTTATAGATGTTTATTTGTGGACCAAGTGAAAATGAAGATGAAAAAGAGCAATTTAGAGCAGCCACAAAAAGTGAAATCAATAAATAAGGCTGCATGTGGATCTGTGCGCTTGGCAAACAAAAAGCCCTGTGGTGCAGCTAGTTAGTAGCCAGCTATATTAAATAATTACTGACAGAGGTCATGAGTTCAAAGTCAGCCTGGGTTGAAGTAAGATCCCGACCATCAATAGTCTAGCATGCTGTTGACCTATGCAGCCCCAAAGACAGTTGCATCCTTCAAGTAGGGAATTTAGGTACCGTTTTGTGTGGGGAGGCTAATTTAATTTACGACACCATAAAAACCTCCAGCAGCGTGCAGAAGAATAAGGAAGTACTCCATCAAAGAACCCGGTGTCACAGGTGGACAGTGAAGCGGCAGCTCCTCCTGTGGCCAGAACCAAGCATACCCTCATGAAGCCGCAAAGCTGGAATGTTAAATTGCCTCTGTGTCTGCCTACATATGTTGTATGTCTAAATATGGGTGGCTTACCTGTAACCATAGTTTCCTGAGTGGTCACCTGTGAATTCACATATTTGGTATATTCCTGCGCTTGCGCAGGCAGCAACATTAATGCCTGCGCAAGTGCAGGAATATACTAAATGTGTGATTCACAGCTGACCACGCTGGGAAATTGGCATTGAATGTTTGCCATGTATATGTGCGTTGTAATCTGCCCTGAGTTCCCTGCGGGGTGAGAAAGGCAGAATATAAATACTGTAAATAAATAAATAAATAAACTATTTTGATACAGTACACATTAAAATTTCCCACTCCCGCCCAGCTGTACCAGCTGATGATAATGTGGTCTGTGCTCATTCAGAAGATCTACAAGCCACTTTATACTCCTTTGCAGAAGCATATGAAAAGCTTGACCTCTCACTGAACATCGAGAAAACTAATGTGTTCTACCAGCAGTCACCAGCCAATGCCAGAAATACAGCTTAATGGTGTAACATTAGAAAATTTGACCATTTCTGCTACCTTAGCAGCCACCTCTCCACAAAAGTCAACATCAACACTTAAATAATGTTCACCCTAGTTGGAATTATCTGAAAAGGGACAAGAGGTGCAGAACAGATAATGCTCAGTTCATGAGATGATTTAGCTTCCACATAAGGATTTGCTACACATTTCACCTGTTCGCGCAACAAGCCAATGTTATAGACATAGGAGTGACTTATGCAGTGGAATGAAAATCATGTGTAGTTCATGTCTTTATCAATCCACACACTGTCTTGCTAGAGAAAAGATATGCCACACAGCTCATCAATAAATAATAAGGTGTTTACTCTTTGTTATGCAGAGCAACATATATACAGTCATGTGAACAGTTGCATTGACTCACACAATGTCCTTTGAGAGAGATTCAAATGTTCCTTGGGTGTCCATGTGAAGAATCTTCTTCCAGCACCTCAGAAGCAGAAAATAGAATCATAGAATCAAAGAGTTGGAAGAGACCTCATGAGCCATCCAGTCCAACCCCATTCTGCCAAGAAGCAGGAATATTGCATTCAAATCACCCCTGACAGATGGCCATCCAGCCTCTGTTTAAAAGCTTCCAAAGAAGAAGCCTCCACCACACTCCGGGGCAGAGAGTTCCACTGCTGAATGGCTCTCACAGTCAGGAAGTTCTTCCTCATGTTCAGATGGAATCTCCTCTCTTGTAGTTTGAAGCCATATACTAACTTGTCTTGTCTATATATACTAACTTGTCTATATATATATACTAACTTGTCTATATATACTAACTTGTCTTGGCAAGCTCCTGCACAGTAAACCTAAGCATGTAACTGTTGCCAAAACTCCCAGGCTCAGCTAGCACCCTGCTGGTAGCCCAACCAATCAACTTTGTGCTTTGCATTTTTCAGTTCACACACTCACCAACTGATTTTTACATGCTCCAACTACATAATAATAATAATAATAATAATAATAATAATAATAATAATCTTTATTTATACCCCACCACTATTTCCCAAAGGGGACTCGGAGTGGATAACATGCCCAGAATTACAGTACAACAAAATAAAATAAAATAACAGAAATTGAAATAAACAGATGCAAAATAACGTGATGAAGAAATAAAATAAAAGGCCCCGTCCACCCAGCTGTATAAAATCCACACTAAACTGAATTAAATGGCAGTGTGGGCTCAGATAATCTAGTTCAAAGCAGATATTGTGGATTATCTTCCCTGATATTCTGGGTTACTGTATATGGCTGTGTGGAAGGGCAAGAGAAAATTTGAATCCAGATCTTCCAAAATGCAGTACTTTATTTACTCCGTTGAAAGCACATCATCTCATAGGCTCATGACATAAGAATACTGGACGAACAAGCAGCATCTGATTTCAAATAAAAATAAAAATACGATAACAGGGAAATTACAAACCCAGTACTTTTCTTCTTCTTTATCCCATTCCCTCAAAATTGCTGATCTACAGTCAAGAGAAAGGTCTAAATTGTGATGAGTGGCACAGTGTCTCCTTAGGATAATGTAACCCTATTTCCACCATTTCTTCTCTAATCTCTACAGAGTCAACTCAAATGTGAATGTCCCGTGACAGAAGGCAAGCTGTGAACTCGTCCGTTCTCACTCAAGTTGAAAAGAGTAGAGATATTCAGGAGCGTTGGTCCTGGAAGCCCAAAGTCACATTTTCCATGGGATGATCATCATTCTGCACGTGACAGGAGGTAAGAAAGTAAAAACACTGACGCAGGCACCAGAATGAGAAGACCCAGCCAGACGGCAATACTGCAGACAGACATGCGCCGGGATTTCTGGGCCCAATGAGCTGCCAACTCTTGGGAGCCAGCTTTGTGTTTCTCATTAGCCTAAAAAAGAGAAATCCAAGAGGAAATATTAAAAATATTGAATACAGCTACCAGATGAGTCTTATTCAAAAGAAAGGATCTTATATTTTAACTTTGTTTCTATTAGCTTAAATGCAGTAAGTTACTTGGCCAAACTTTCATAATTCTTTGCTCCTTTGTTTAGGAGTTTGACTATATATTTTTTACTGCCCATTACAGGTGACTATTGTTTTTAGGCTCAAGATAGAGAGAATAATTCTAAATGGGACCAGAAGGTGAGGAACAGGTGAAATGGATTTATTCCCTCGGAAGAAGTTTTGCCAACTGGTTATGTCTGGAAGCCATTTCCATGACAGCAGTGTACTATGTTTGTGTTTGTGTATTTTAGGTTGCCTTCCACTGAGTAGAAATGTAAACAGAGAGTGGCAAGCAAGGCAAGATTAAGATATGAGGGTCGAAACTGCTGCATTTTAGTCCCTATTTCTAGAGTCTTAGGCCCCTTCCACACAGCTGAATAAAATCCCACATGTTCTACTTTGAACTGGAATATATGGCAGTGTGGACTCTGATAACCCAGTTCAAAGCATATATTGTGGGATTTTCTGCCTTGATATTCTGGGTTATATGGCAGTGTGGAAAGGCCCTTAATCCAGTGTCCAAACTATTCCATGCTAGACCTTTTTTTCTCTTGGGAAGGCTCATTTCTCTAAACCAGTGGTTCCCAACTTTTGATCCTCCAGTTCTTTTGGACTTCCAACTCCCAGAAATCTCAGCCAGTTTACCAGCTGGTAGGAATTGTGGGAGCTAAAGTCCAAAGCATCTGGAGGACCAAAGGTTGGAAATCGCTGATCTAAACCAGCAAGAAACCATCAAACCACCTTTCCTTTCCCTTTGAACAACTAGGAAAGTGTGCAACATGCATAGAATGCATATGTTTCTGGAATGCAACAACAACATTTTATTATGAGACTGCGCTCCATGCAGTCATGCCAGCCACATGACCTTGGAGGTGTCTACGGACAACGCTGACTCTCTGGCATAGAAATGGAGATGAGCACCAACCTCCAGAGTCGGACATGAGCAAAACCTTTACCTTTACTATAGAAACCCATCAGTAAAACCAACAGTCATTATAAATTCTCCCATCTCAGGATAAGTCCATTGTACAAGATACATCTATATGGTTTCAAGTAATACCCCTATCAGAGGTTAGTTGCTTTCTCAGCCTTGTTGCCACTGCGAGGAATTTTGCCACTATGAGTCAACCTGTGGCACTTGTCCTCTAAAAGATATCTATCAATCCTCTGTGAGGGATGGCTGGTCATGCGGGACAGGATTGGATATAAAAGTTGTCTATGTTGCACTGTGACCGCATCTCCGTTTATGAACCCACGCGCTCACTTCGTTCATCCGGAGAGGCCCTGCTCACGATTCCGCCTGCGTCGCAGGTGCGTCTGGTGGGGACGTGAGACAGGGCCTTTTCTGTGGTGGTCCCCTGACTCTGGAACACCCTCCCCAAAGATCTTAGACAGGCCCCTACGTTGGCAGTCTTTAGGAAGAACTTGAAGACTTGGCTGTTCCAATGTGCCTTTCCAGAATAGGAAAACTCCAACAAGTCCCAGAAGCACTTTAGTAGAAATTAAGATTGCTGGCACACTGCACTTACCCTATAATCCTACATATCACCTGTCACATCAGCACTTTTAATTCTGTACCCATTACTCTGGCCCGGCCCAGTTTTATTGTGTCTTAGTGTATTGTTTTATTGTTGTTGTTTTTAATATTGCTTTAACTGTTTTTTATTTGCTCTAGGTTGTGTATTGTTATGCTATGTTTTGAGGCCTTGGCCTTTGTAAGCCGCATCGAGTCCTTCGGGAGATGCTAGCGGGGTACAAATAAAGATAATAATAATAATAATAATAATAATAATAATAGTACTGGCACTGCAGTAAAATGTGTTCTCCGCTGTGGCCCACGACTTTGGAACTCACTACCTGGAGAGATTAGGCAAGCCCCCACTCTAGCAGCCTTTAAGAAAGATCTGAAAACTTGGCTCTTCCGTTGTGCCTTTGGAGAGTGACCATTCGTCCCATTTCTGTCTGTTCCATCTACAGTGTTGTCCTTATGATGCACTTTTCCCCCGCCCTAAATTGAAGGCCTAACTGTACCGTTTGTCCTTTTTGGGCTCCTCTCAAATACATTTTTTCCACTCCTACCTCATCCAGGGTTTTATCATCTTATCTTGTCCATTTTGCCTGCCCATTGTGTTCGATTTCCTATTATGCTATCTTGCTTTGTTTACTATATTTTGCCACTGTATGTACTTTATTGTGATGTGATTTTTGTTGTTGTATTTTGCACTTTATTTTGCTGTATTGTATCTTTGGGCTTGGCCTCATGTTAGCCTCCCCGTGTCCCCTTCGGGGAGATGGTGGCGGGGTATAAATAAAGTTTATTATTATTATAATATTATTATTGTTGTTGTTATTGTTGTTGTTTCTATTTCATTTTCTCCACAGGGGCATAGTCTTTGGGAGTAAGGAATTCCAGACAGCCTGCCTATTAGCAGCTCTGGGGGAAATATATTTAATCTCACGTGACAAATTTTCTCTAGAGCAGGTTAGAAGCTTTCAGTATTGGGCCTTACCTTCCACCACACCTTATCCTGGAGAGAGCACTCTGAAATAGTGATTCAAATGACAAAGGCCTGCTGAGCAGCTTTAATAAGGTTCTATTACACCAAAGGAGGACAATACGTCCCCTCAGCTCTAGAATCATGGAATCAAAGAGTTGGAAGAGACCTCATGGGCCATCCAGTCCAACCCCCTGCCAAGAAGCAGGAATATTGTATTCAAAGCACCCCTGACAAGATGGCCATCCAGCCTGTTTAAAAGCTTCCAAAGAAGGAGCCTCCACCACACTCTGCGGCAGAGAGTTCCACTGCTGAATGGCTCTCACAGTCAGGAAGTTCTTCCTCATGTTCAGACTAAAAATCTTTAATGTCAAAACAGCCTCTAAACTCCTCTTCGATGCAATCATATGGTGTGAAAACTCAACTATTATTCTAGAGATTGCAAGCAAGTTTATAAGATATCTCCTAAATGTACCTTCTTGCGTACCTAATGCAGTCCTGCTTCTAGAAACGGGTGAATGCCCACTGAGTACTAGGGCCTGGACTCCAAAAATGAACCTATGATTAAAGACAATGGTTTTCAAACTAGGAAGAGGTTTACTACATTACCTCTCTTATGAAGCCCCCAAACGCCTTTGGGCGTGGAAGACTGTATGGATGCATATTGGCACATGCATGTATATTCACTGAGAGGGGCAAAGCTAGAAATATTTCTCTGGGTAGCCTAACCTGATGAAGAAATTGAATGGCAGATTTTAGGCGCTGTGATCAAGTTTCTCAGCACCGCCTTGCTGACCAAGTTCATACATTTGTAAATATGCATGGCATGGGGAATTAGGTTCTTTGAAGAAAACTGCCCCTCCCTTCCATAGGCTTGGTTCCTGAACTTTTGTTCTCTTGATTGTGGGTGCCAAAAAACCCACAAAGAATCTGGTGGCACCTGAAAGACAAGCAAGGCTTTGGTAGACTGCAGCCAAAAAGAACCTTGTTGCCTTTGGAGGTTGACAATAAACTTTTGAGTCCCTTGCTGGGAGGGCAGGGTGTTAATTAGTAATTAAATATGTTAAAGGATTCGCTGTAGAGAATTTAGTATTGACTCTCCTTAACACTACTCATTTTCCTTCAAGTTTCTGAAATACCAAAACTCTCCAACACCCCTTTCCCACCCCCTTGATGGAACTATATAACTCACCTTGACTGCATAGATCAGTGCTAGGACTCCAAGGCAAGAACAGCCACAGACAATGCTAGCTATTGCCAAGTTGCGAAGCCGATGCATATGCAAAAGAGGTGGTTTGGCAGGAGGGTCCATGTCTGAGGTGCCAGTGGTGATCATCACATAGGTCTCCGGTGCATCTTGGGGAAGGCTCCTACTTCTAGGTTCCATCTCTTCTCCCATGACAATAGGTGCACACTGTTGTTGTCGTAACGCAGCGAAAAGCCTTCCTTTCCCACTCTTTTTCTCAATGTATGATCATTGTTGTGCATGGAAGACTCCTGTCCACAGGCATTTTTTGAAATTCAAACTCAGGCAGGACACCCAGACTCAAGTCCTCCCTCTCTTATTAGGTTTTGGTGTGGTTCTGACAAAATTGTGTTGTAGTCAGTCTTGGCAACACCAGATCGTTAGAATTAAGAAACAAGGAATGTTTAAAAGGTGTTCCCAAATTAAACAAGGCAAACCACTCAACAGAAATTAATCTGAAGCAACAAGCACTATCTTCCCTGTGCCTGGTTAGATCTGTTTAATTCTTGGCACTTGTTAAGCTATGCTCCTTTCTGTGGGTTGAACAGAAAGAGGTGACGGTTTGGTCCTAAGGCCTACATGGATGTGGGAAGCTTACCTCTCTGGCTTTTCACGGCCCTTCAGAAGCCCTTTCTGTTTTAATTTCTCTCTGGACACTGTTCCTATGTATGCTCATGCTCCTATCAGATCCCAAGTTCAGATCGAGCCATGCCTTTTTGGGTTGGGTCCAACTCTTGACACCGAATGAAATCTAGTTGCCGCTACTGACTCAGGAATGTGGGTTGCTCCTGCTTTTCGGCATGAGATCATACTCTCATTCTCACAATCTACATTCTGGCACCGGGACTTATGTTTACGAATTCAGAGATGATAAGCAGATATGCACAAAGCCTGGGAGGAGGAAGTACTGAGTTTCTGATAGGAGGAATTTATGTGAGAATTATGAATAAGGTGGGAAACATTATGACCTCCAGTTTCGCTTAGTAATTCTGTCCCAAGAAAGGTCAGATGAGGTGCCTTCATTCCAGTTTTTTGAACTAAGGATGGAAAACACGAGGCTAAAGATCTGCATGTGGTTTATATTGATAACTTCACTCATTATGGCTTTTCTTACTTCTACCAGTTTGAAAAAGTCAACACAGTCCACAAATTGGAAGTATTACTCCTTTTTAAGCCATTCTCAGAACTCTCCATCAGCACCATCAGAGATCTTACTCACTCAGGGCTTTTGTGAGTTTTGGTCCCTAAAAGTAATCTGAAATTCTGTAAAATTACCACTGTGGCAACTCAAACACCAAGTGAAAAAAGACCACCCATTTTACAAAATATCAAGACAATTTTCTTATCGAGATGGAATGCTGGTTCACTAAAATAAAAATGGCAAGGGATTAACAAAGACTACCTCCAGTTAAAAAATGTAAGGTTGCTTACCTGTAACCGTTGTTTCCCGAGTGGTCATCTGTGAATTCGCACATATGGTAAGCTGCGCTGGCGCAGAAGTGTTACCATATGTGCGTATTCACAGCTGACCACGCAGGGAAACCATTCCTCCCCTACCAGGCTGGGTCAATCTCTTCAATGCAGCTCTTCATTCAATACAAATACTGTTGGCTAGGTGGAAAGGACCCATTTTAATGCTCAATCTTGCACATGCTTTGATACTCCAGGGGTGAGGCCTCATCATTAACACCAATAGATTATCCAATTCAAAAGGAAACCCTCCCTTAGCATTGAAATGGGCCCAGGCAAGTCCAAACAAGGGCACACCTTTGCCAAAGCAGCAGAGAGAAATTACAAGGTTCGTACTGCTAAGCAATGTCCGAGCCAAGAAACCAGTTTGCCAACATTCCTCTTACCTAGTAAGAATCAAGAGCACCTTCCAAAGCGTGTGGCAAAACAGAATTAAATTATTAGTCATGATTTCCTCTTCCAGGACTCTTTAAAGCACTTGGGCTCTATATTCATGGACGTTGGACATATATTAAAACCCTAAAATGTATTTTGTGAGAAATTGGTCCAGCTCTGTACAAGTTAAATGTTCCTGGCTCATTTTTGGGTGGCTCCCAACTCTTCGCCTTTCTGATATGGTGGGTGCAAAGTTGCTTTACTTCTGCGGTGAGTGAAAACAGACTCTGTATGTTGTTGGATGAAACCCCCAGCATTTATCCAATGTCCTTTGCTGGCTAAAGCTGAGGGAACTTGGCATGGGCAAATTGTTGAGACCAGAACACAGTTCACTGCCATAGCAGATTATTTTGAATGGTTGTAGATAGTACTCTGAGAAGTGAAAGGGTGCCTAAGTCAACAGAGAAGCCAGTACAGATTGGGGGAACATGTTACTAAAGGTTATATGTGTTGTATGTCAGCCTGTGATTGTGTCTGATATTCACGATGGGAATGATGTCCATGTTGTTGTTCCCGATAGGAATGTTCCTGATGGTATTGGGGATGAGGGGCTGCTTGGGCCTGACCTAAGATCAGAAGAGAGGCCTGAATTGTTTCAGGAAGATTCACAAGGCCACATTCCTGAGAGGCCTGTCACCGCTTTTCTCAGATCAACTGTCTGAAAATGATCCTGAAATTGATTTGCCAGGTACAGGACTTAATGAGGGAGAGGATAGTGAAACCTTGGTCAGAAAGCAAAGTTTTAGTAAAGAGATGCAGAACTTTCAGAGACTGAGACGATCAGTCTGGCTTTTAAGTGCTCTGAGTTTCTTGTACCAACTTTCTACCAAGCTTAAATTTTGCCTATGGGACTTTCCTGGTGTTTTGTTTCATGGTTTTAAGTGTCTTGTTTCATGAATTTCTAGGTCCTCATGGAACTTGCTTGCTTTCCTTTGAAGCTTAAGGACGATCTTGGATTTTGGACCTTTACTGTTTTTACTATTTTTACTGGTCTGCCTACATATATTCTACAATACACTGCTTGCTGATTTTACCAAGCTGGTGTGGTGTTTCAGGTCAGAGGTGTTCCTGCTCTGGTGTATGACAATAAAAACCTACTCTGCTCATTCTGTGAACTATAAATATGCAATGGGAATAGATTCACTTTACATCTGGAGAATAAAATCTGGAAGGAACCTCCTCCTACGAGAACTAACCTGGCCAGTTTTATTTAGTTCCACAACGTGGCAGTTATCAAAAGCTGACTGTAGCATATAGGGAAAAACAGTTTGAACATTCTGCCAACACTGTGCTTAAAAATATGATGGCAAGTGATTAACAAAGACTACCTCCAGTTAAAAACCAAGATCCAGTTAAGTAATATCTAGATCTGAGAAGTAAGAAACTACCATATGTGTGATTCACAGTTGACCACGATGGGAAAAGACGACTCCACAGACGCAAATGGTGTGCTGTTGTTGTTTTTTTGTTGTTTTGTTTTTTGTTGTTTTTTTAACACTTTATTCATAGCATTATTCTGAAGAAAGATTACATCGGTCTTCTGTACAAGTTCTGAACATGCTTCAGTAGGAAAGACAGCTCCATGGGAACACCTCACCCTCTGCCACCCCAACTGCACCCCTCCCCAAAACCAGAGAACTGCTGCCGCTACCCACAAATCCCACTGCGGTGGAGGAGGGGAGGGAACGTTGTGCTCCCCTATACAAAATAACCTTTGCATAGATTATGTTCAAAAGAACCTATTTTACAACAAGAGAGCTGTACAGTGGTGGGAAAAAGGAGAGGGATCTGACCCAACTCAGAAGCCCACAACAAGTCCTTGGAGCAGTGAGCTGCAATTTACATTGTTAAAAACAAGACAGTTTCCCCAGATGGTGGTGGTGCCTAAGGCAAGAGCACGACTTTTTGGAAGGTGGGCCTTACACCATCCCCAACTTTGAAGGGTCAACTCTCCCACCGCCTTGAGCCTCTAAAGGGCCCTAAACTGTGAACGGATTAAGCGGGAGACAATCAGAACGGGTAGCCAGGGAAAGGGACCCAGCTTTTGGTCACTGTCATTTAAAAACCAACCCAAAGCCATTAAAAAAGTAAGAGCTAATTGTGTTACAAATCAGATGGGCATTCCCTGCAGACAGAGGGGAGGAAAAAGAGGATGGGGGATACCAAGCCCCAATGTGTGACCATTTAAAATAGAATGTAAGCCTAAGGAACACTTGGGCTGAAGCTTCCCAAAGTGGTAGTCAAATGATAGGGGAGTCTAGGGGTGGCGACAGCCCTTTACTGTCATCTCGAAGGGCCACAGCTCTACTGAGCTGCAGCTCTTACACCCCCAGCCCACAAGCATGAAGTCACAGAATTCATTGTGAAAAGTGCTGGTCCTCTCCCTTTCTCTTGGGTGGCGCAACTGAGCCATGCACCCAGAACTGGCAACTTCAAGCAAGAGGGGCCCTCGCCTTATTCTGAGAAAGAGCACCTGGGAATGAACAGCCAGGTCGCCACCAGCAATCTCCTTCTCCTCCTTTCAAGTAATACTCTAACAGTCAATCTGGAATGCAGGGAGCTGTGGGAGGGAGTTAAGCCCCAGAGATTGACCCTCACCCCCCCCCCCCCATATGAACAGGAGGGATGAGAACAAGGGAAGCGGTGGCGGACTAGATCTGCTTACGGTATGTGAGTGGGAACAGAAGGCCGCCAATCCATCCGCGCAGACAAGTGATAGCAGAATCTCTTGCGCTGCCATCATCACGTCTTGGGTTTACGACCTCTGTTACTTAGTGAAGAGGTAATGGGGGTAGCTGGGGAAGGGGCGCTGGATGAAGAAATCACCCCAGGGACTCCCAGCGCTGAGGCAGCAGCAGCAGCAGAACTAGCGCCCACCCTCCTGGTGGGAACTGGGGAAGGAGCCAAGCTGGTAGTGTCAGCAGGCTTTGCTGCACTACGGAGAACCCGGTCAGCCGAGCCACCACGAGGACGTTGCCTCTGTGCTCTCCTTCTGCCATGCACCCCAGCCTCACAACACTGGCGCTTGGATTGACGATTACCATTATTACTGTTTGACTCTGGGGAGGATTCAGACTCTCTGCCCTCCTGGTCCGAAGAGGCTTGAGGAGCAGGTGACTTGCTCCTGTCGCTCACTTGGCTGCTCCCCAACGAGTAGCGCCGCTTTCGCCGATGAATCTCCCATTCCAGTGGTGGAACAAGGCTGCCAGGCCGCAGGCGGGTAGAACGGCCGGGGGTCTCACTGGGAACTTGTTCCCAAGCACTGCTCTCCGATGATGAGGCACCCTCTATGACTACGTTCTTTGGGGAGGACTGAGCTGAACTCGGCTCTGGCTTCTCATCACGCTTGAGCCGAGAAAGCCTGGTGAGCGGGCGATTGTCCTCATCCTCTAGTGAGCTCTGGCTGGGGCTGGACAACGACGGGCCAAGTTCATCATTTCTCTTTCGTCTCTGACGTTTACAGGCAGGGTCTGCTAACTTCTCTATCTTAGGGGAGATTTTCTGGTCAGAGGTGGAAGCAGGCGGTGGTGCTGCCTCCAGACGTGGAGGAGGTGTGTTCTTTGGGGGCCTCCCTCTCTTCCGCTTGGGTGGAGAATCCAGCAACTGGGAGGCTTTGGAGGCCATATGTGGCGGAGGGAGAAAAGGCGGCTTTTCTTCCATCTCTGTGGAAGTTTCCACTGCAGAAACCACACTAGGGGGAGGGGCAAGAGTTTCACACATCTCTGTGGGTGATTTGGAAAGTGATTTAAGGGGACTTGCCAAAAGTTCTAGCGAAATTGGTTTTGACTGTGACATGGATTTGGGGTGCATGGACTTTCGATTCCGTGCTTTCAAAGGTGTTTTTGAGACCAAAGTCGTTTTGGGAGCCGGATTTACTGACTTGTGTATCTCAGGTGTTGCCTCTGTTACAGCAGTGGATCTACAGGACTTTTTCAGCTGCTTTTTTACCTTGGGGGACAGGTCAGGTTTTGCAGCTGTGGCTAGTAGTGTTTTTGAAGCAGAAGTCTTAGGAGAAACAACGGGGGACTCCTGAAGCTTGGG